TTTAGGATAATGTGAGTACATATTTGCATTCAGAGCTTAATTAACTTTAATTAGGGGTGATTAATTCATGTGTTTGGTGCTATTTTGCGCATTAAGCAACATGGCTGGCAGCAAACGCCTTATTAGTCAAACGTCGTGCACCGGAGCGGTGCTCAAGCATTGAAACGGAGTTGAATTATTCGAAATAAAGTGATGAGGAAAGAGCTGCGGAGCATGGAGAACAATAAGGGCGGGGACAAGGGACAATCAGAGTATAATCTCCAAGAGTGAATGGGGAACAATAATACTCAAAGTGTTAGGCATGTTATGTGAAGAAACAAGAAAGACTGAATAATGGTGGCACGAGGAATCATCCCGTGCGCCCACAATCGCATATACACAAGGGTCCTGATGAAAGGTAAGTCCGACTGTGTATGTGTGTGGCGTAAATAAGGGGCTAATTAGATATAATATGAATATATGATAATACATGTCGGTGAATACGTGGAGGTAAAAGGCGAGAAGCGATTAGAAATCAGTGACCTGCGTCGATGTTGATTCGTTGACAATGAGGGTTGGGGGGGAGGGGGTGGGCACCGCCCTTGGTGGCCAGGCCACACGCGGCGTACTGGGCTATCATGTCATTGTGGTTCCACGCATGCTTCGGGATTGAACTTGCCATGCTCTTCCTTCCCACTCTCACATACAAAAGTGGCCAAATTACATAGCCAGCGGATTCAGACTTCTCACCCACTTTTGCAACTATCAGTCGTATTGTACAAGTCTATTCACATGTGTAGACTTCCTACGCACTGAGACAAACTTTATTTTTGGCAACACACTGCAGCAACAAGCTACGAATTACGACTTGTTACCCTTTGCCTCGGCAATTGGCGTGAAGGTCTTTCGTAATTTTGGACTTGTAATATATATAACACCGGCTTCTTAATATAAGACTACCTGATTAACTAATTTAAAGATATTAAGAAAGTTGATTATATTTAGTTATTTATAATAAATAGATATTGTCTTTCTTAAAATGCCTTTATTTTAAATTACAAATTGATAATAACTTTTTAACATATGCAACTATTATAGAGATTACTTAAGGATAAAATGAATAAATATTAAAGACAAAATAAATTTGAGTCTTATATTGAGAACTAAATTGAAAATCAAATTAACTCTTATATTAAGGATCGAAATAACATGTTTATTTCCTTGTTATTGAGACCTCATATAATTTCTGCACAGTTCCTATCGCAGCGTATGTGGGCCTCTATATCAGGATTTATTTTCCGCCCGTGAGGAGATAAAAAGCCATGATAATTATATTATAATCAATCTGATAACGTTTGAACCAAGCAGGTGGGGCTCAGTTCCGATCATCATGATACAAAGTGATTTACAGTAATATTTTCACGAGGTTCTGTTTTCCTCCCTCCCCGTTCCAAGGCCTCACTGCTCATACAACAAAACATGGCGATGTCTCAAACAGGACATCGTGCTCCCTCCTCCCCACAAACAATGATTTAATTCTCCCTATTATTTACTGTTAATATAAGGCACCTGTAATGGGAATCAGCGCATTGCTTTGTTCCAGAAGCACCCATTTCTTCAAACATATTCCCCCATTTCTTTGTGATTATATTTTGCGTGTTTAAGATAACTGGTCCAAATTTCAGATGCAGACAAGCACCGGATGAAAAGTAAGCATCTTCAGCGAAAACCATGCCACTATGCACGCTCGTTAAATTGCCGAGTAATAAACTTCCATGTTAGATAATAAGCACACAGAGGTGCCTACACCACTTGATGGAGTTCACCTCAAACCAGAAGATGAAGCATAGAATCTTTCATCTTGAACAGGCAGAGGAAGAATACTGGACACTACCACCACCAAATGTGATGCGAGTAGACGTTGATGGCTCAGTATGGACAAATGCTCAGGCGGCTTGTGGAGGTACTGTTAGGAACAATGTAAGAGAATGGGTAATGGGCTTCACACGCTCCATTGGAGTGGGCTTAGTGATCGAGGCAGAATTAGTAGCAATTAAAACGGGCTTGGAAGTTGGAAGATACAACTTTACATAGACTCAGGCTCTGTTTGGAAGGGCGTTTGGTGGGCCAAAAGTAGGTTTAAAATGAAAATAAGCCTGATTATCTTTGGATGGGTGTTTGGATCAGCGTTTGGGCCATCCCACTCATCCACTAAAAGTCAGATTGGAACACCTGATATGTATAAGCTAGTTGGAGGAGCTTTTTGAAATTGAAATCGTGCTTATTGGACCGTTATTTTTTTGTCAGATACTCATTTCCCATCAAATTATTTTCTCTCCCCATTTTTATTCCTTTCTTTCCTCTGCCTCTCCTCATTTTCATTCGTCTCTTTCTTCGTCTGCCTTTATTTGTGTGTCCTCCACTCAAAAAACTGAGAGCTTCACTACTAGAGAGAAGAGCTGCGTCATCGAGTCCGTTGCTGTAACTCCATCACCACTCTGCCATTTTCCATCCGTTGGCTGGCGTGAGGTGAGCGTTGTGTTGGGTCTGATGGGGAAGCATCTCTGCGTGCTTCATCGGTCATCCAAAGCACGTCAGATCTGAAGACCTCCTCGAAAGCTGTGGTGGTCGGCGTCTGAGCACTGGGGGTGAGTTCCCAGTATATATCTTGGCTGAAGAGTGCAAAACATAGTCCGATCTACCTTTCTTAGGCTCTATTATTGCGGATTCGATACATGCCATACAGATTCTCTGTTCTCATCTTTCTCTTTTCATCTAACTTGCTTTGGTTGCATGTAACGATCGACCTGTAGATTTATAGTGGAGTTGAGCTAATGTGCAAATTAATCTGAGCTTGGTTTTGTCTAGTTAATCTATCTGGTACTGCAAAGTCTCCGTTTTTAGTTCCTTCTCTGTAGAGTTAAACGTGATGGATTGCATGTAATCTATTTAAGTATAGATTTTGCTCTTAGAAACTGAACTTGTTGGGATTTCTGCTCTTATGTTAACAATGGTCTGTAAATAGCTGTGTGTCCCCTGTTTTTTTCTCTTCCATCACCTATTTCGGCCATAATCGATGAAGAGAGGAGGTTTTTTTTTTTAAAAAAAAAAAACATAGAGGCTAGAGTCGGGTTGAACATGTTTTTTTTTTCCCCATTGTATGAGCATCTGACAGGAAAAAATCAAAGAAGAATAATAGTACTATGAGCAATGTTGATCATTAAAAAATTGGAATCATCTGTGAGAAGTGCAAACTGAAGCTAGTAAAGAAGAATATTGAACTATTAGAGTGAGGAAGCCAAAGATAGAAAGAGTGTGTTCTCCTCGTTTCTTTTTTGTTCCATCACCTATTTCGGCCATAATCCATGAGGAGAAAAAGATTTTTGATTAAAAAAAACAGAACTGATATATATATTTTGATAATTTTTCAACCAAACTTATTTTTACTCAACTATAATTCAAATAACCTTTTACCAATCTCACTTTTACAAACTAATTTTTCTGAACTTCAATCTAAACACAATTCAACTTATCAATTTAACTTTTACCAAATTCACTTTTCTATAAGTTACTTTTCCAATCGCTAATCCAAATAGACACTCTGTTGATGCCCTTAATATCCTGATGATAGATTGCATGAATGGCCACCCATTACAGGGCTTGGTGAGGGAGGTAAGGGAACTATTATATGCAAACTGGGATGTGAAAATCTTCCATACTAGCAGGGAATTAATTAGATGCGCAGATTATATGGCAAAGATGGGGTATCAAAGTACCTACCAAACGTCTTTGGTGCCGTCAACCCCTCTTATCTGCAGGCAGATAATTTCAGAGGACAGACAAAATTACTGATTCTTACCTCTTAGTTGTTATTCCTTTTGATTTTGTTGACTAGGACCGCTTGTTCCTAGTTTTTATTCTACAAGCTTCAGCTTGCCTTTGTAATTAAAAAAAAAAAAAGAAGATAATAAGCATGGTCCTAACCTTCTCCTTAAACATAAACAGGCAATGCTCATGAGAAATGCCAAGTAAACGCATGCAAGAAAACAAACAATACACGCCCCGGCGTGCTTTGAATCCATAAGCTCAGCAATTTTGGCGCACATAAAATTTTGTCGCATTGTAAATATTAAGAAATTCACCCTTGTTGGACCATGGGAAGAAGGAGGCTCTGTAATTAAAATGGCTCACATTTCTAATACACGTGCACTTGGGCTTTGTCCTCACGTTACCTGACTGTTTATATCAGCAATACAAATTTCAAAGGAATTCAAGCAGGTTCAAAGATACTTCCTCTGATTCATAATTTTGGGCAACTGGACTCAACTCCAGCCCCTCCAAAAGGAGTTTTCTGGACATCTTAGCGGGAAATTCTATTAATGACAGGTTAAGCAAGGAGAAGAATTTAATACTGGTAACACGGAATTCCAAGAAAGTTTATGAAATAATACATGTTTAATTATTCTTTTAGTTAAGAAGTAACACCTTTTAAGTGATGCAACCCCCCCCCCCCAAAAAAAAAAGCCCGCAAGAATAAGACAAAACATAAGCATAATTTAAAAGAGTCTGAGGTCCCTTCACCTTCAGAAAAACCTCGAAAGAAGTTTTGTAATGCTAGTAAAGGTCTAGAGAATGATGAGCCGGGAATAGAAAGCATCAGCTTCTGAAACACAAAATTACAAAACCTGCAAACATTGACAAAACAAATCTGCCCAGGCCTTGCTTGCACCTTCCAACACTCCACAAAGAATTGCCACCAAGAGAGAATTTCCCCCAGGCAGTCATCCCACGCGCACACAATGAAACAAATCGAAATTCAACATATAATAAGCTTTGGGACGGTGGAGAAGGAAGAGCCGAAGTCGTGCGAAGTTTAGGCAAGGGAAGAAAGAAATTTCTAAGATTTGAAATGGATCATTAAATGTGTTGATGAAAGTAACAGATGGTGACAAGTGAGATAGGTAAGCAACATTAAAGAGGCAGGCAGTTCTGAACTTAATTTAGTAAGAGGGGCCAAAAAGAACAAGAACCAGAGCGAACACAATTTAGGCTGATAAGACGTTCAGCTTGTGCTTTCAACTAAATGGCATACAGTAGCTTGTAGTACCATATTGACTAACAAACACTTTACATGTACAGTTAGAGAAGACAGTGTTTAAAGCGTCCCTAGCAACGCTACTGTCCTTCAAGTTCTTGCTTTATTCACTAAATACCTATTTATTGTGGGAACTACTTTCATACACACCATTGTCACCGGATTCGCTCACTCGCTTTTCCATCAACCTATCTCTTGTGTTATCCTGATGGGACCTTCCATATTCCCTTCCAACTCTACGGTCCTGTAAAAGATTCCAAAATCAAAATTATTACTATGGGCTCCGAATATCGCACAAAGTATGGCTTCAAGAAAGATAGTTGGGTGTCTAATGTAATTCCAGCAAGTAAACATCAAAGCAGCAACTAAATGACAGTGCACAAAACTGATCCGGCTCGAACAGTTTGCAGACATCATTTATAAAGTGGCAACATTATAAATTAGGGATGATAGTACCAAAAAGGTTTTGCGATATTCCAAAATTTCTAGGCAAACTCACATCTCGAAATGGGAACTCATCAGCCTCGAGCATATGGATAACATGTCCCATCTTCGGCCTTTTCTGGACATTTGGATCTACACACCGTAAAGCTACTAACAAGGCACGCTTCAGTGCTCTAGAAGGAGGTTTCTCAGGCAGCCTAGGATCCAGCACACCTTCCGCATTTCGGTTTGTGACCATTGTCTTCAGCCACTCAACCAGGTTCACCTGCAAAGTTGACATGCCAATTATGATCAGAAAAGCACGTTCGGTGGAGGAAGAACATTGAAAAGATGCATTAAAGTGACCCAAAAACAGAGTCACTAAATAGTATGGGTTGCTACCTCTCCTGGAGGACGGCTATAGTCAACTGGGTTTCTACCAGAAATTATCTCCATAAGAAGAACCCCAAAGCTATACACATCGCTTCTTTCGTTTAACATGCCAGTGCTTGCATATTCTGGCGCCACATATCTGCGAAACATAACAGGTCATCAGTCATCTGTCCTGTTAGGCCCGGATCACTTTATCAAGTTAGAAAGTGGCCACATCGTTTCAAAGAAAAGTTCAACCAACCCAAATGTTCCCATCACGCGAGTCGTCACATAACTCCTTTCGGATCCCAAGAGTTTTGCAAGCCCAAAATCAGAAACTTTCGGATTCCATCGCTTATCAAGCAATATATTGCTCGACTTGATATCACGATGAACAACCTTCGGCTCAAGCCCCTCGTGAAGGTATGTTAACCTGCAATGAATCAGTTTTAGGCTTTAACAATGAAAAGAGCAATGCCCCGGGGGCGGGGGGGCGGGGAAGGAACTCACAGAAAATAAGTGGATACCGCATTCACTACTATATAAATATGAGCATTTACCCTTTTGCAGTTCCAAGGATTATATTCATTCGAATATCCCACGTCAGAGGGCTAGAAGGGCCGGTATCTCCGTGTAGCCACTGTTCCAGATTTCCATTGTCCACATACTCATAAACAAGCATCCTGCAATCACATGAATTTGTACCAAAATGCATAACACTCATATTAAAACGGTTCAAGAAGTTCAGACGGCCACAGCGTATCAGCAGATGAAGAATAAAAGCATTGAATATTTCATCATGAATATCGAAATACCTATGAGCTCCTTCAACACAGTATCCAAGCAACCTCACCAAATTTTTATGCCGAACGCGTCCAATTGCTTGAACTTCCACCTTGAATTCTCTCTCGGCTTGACCCCTGCAGGCAGAGAATCGACTGTCTTAACTTTCTTCAAGGCGATACTGACTACAATTCATTATTGTTGAGCTCATGCTTCCATACGTAACAGTTAAAACTTCTTTAGGAGCTCAGAAAAATTCCCGAATGTAAGATTCGAAGAGAAAGTTAAAATTGCGCAACCCCTACTTATTGTTGAGCAAATTTTTAACAGCAACATTGGTATTATCTTGCAGCACCCCTCGGTAAACAATTCCGTAGCCACCTTCGCCTATGACGTTCTCATCGGCGAAAAAATTGGTGGAGACCTCAAGCTCTCGAAGAGTGTACCAGTGCCCCCAACCCAAATGAGAAACCTCCGGCACAGCAATGGAGGGTTGCTCACCGGACCGAACCTCCCCGCTGCCATGAGATGAACCTCCACCCCGCTCAGGGAACGAAATCCGGTGGCCTTTTCCAATTTCGATGTGAATTTTGTGGGGGCCTGTTCCTGGGCTTTCGTCCTCCTGCTGAAGAAGAATGGCTTGTGCTCTTTCTAGAGCCTCGGACTGTGATTCCGGCAGTGGGTCGGGGTTAGGCACGAGGTTTGGCTTGGTTGGTTCACGAGAATGGTCAATCCGGATTTCTTGAATCTCCTTGGACACACTTGGTATGTTGATGTTGGGTTTCTGACAAGACTTGAGCTTGGAAGCATTATTGCGTTTTGCAGCGAACCAGAGTGATATGATAAACAGTAAAATGACAATGGCTGCTCCGACGCATATACCGAGCACCACCCAGAGCCGTAACCCAAAAATTGAAGTGTGCTTTGAGAGCTGATCGTTCAGAAACGCGTAGCTCGTCATTGTTCTCTTCTTCTCCCCTCCCCAAGTTATGAAAGAAGGAGGAGGAGGATGAGAAGAGTAACCACCAGCAAGTGGAACGCAGTCTGTATCTGTGCAGCGATGAATAAGGCGAAACAGCACAGTGACAGTGAAGCCAAGACCTTGGAGACTGTGCCTTTTATCTCAAAACTTTGTAGCAGGTTGAATTTGATTCCGATGTCATCTGCATTATGAAAGCTTTGAACAAAGGTAGTTCACTGGCGAAAAAAAGAAAAAGAACAAACGTGGTTCAATGTCTAATAATTCTGCAAGTGATGTTTTCTGTGATATCAAAGTTTTGTTTTAAATGTGTTGTGCGGTCTTCGTAGTCAGTTAGTAATCCAAGTGCAGAGATTAGGACGGAGAGAAAGGTCAAAATCCTGGATACGGCAGCATCTTCGTTTGGATTCTGGAGATTATTAATAATATTAAATAAATATTAGAACCCATTAACCATCTGCTTTCCTCGGCCCTACTCGGAGACTTCCTGCCTCCGGGTGCTTGTTCCTTTATTTATGTAAGCCTTGCTTTTTCTGACTGAGAGATGCCTTCATTAATCGACTCCAATAATTAATTTCTTATTTTATTGGAAATTTCCCCAACTTGCCCGAAAATTATGTTCATCCCCTTTAAACATACGAACCAAAGTCAGCAGTAAGATTGAGCTGACTTTAATTTAATGCATGGGGTTGTGGCCCGGGGAGCTGGGCCGACATAATGAATAATGAATAAACTTTAACATGGTCGCATCTTAAGTACGAAGGCGGACCTACTTACTGCAAATAACCCAGTGAGCCCACGATCACCTTCACGTCATGGACTCAATCCATCCTAAAAATACCTCCACCAAATAAAGATCTATACCGCATGGCGGATGACTCCTGGCCCATAGCTCCCACATGTAGAAATAAATTCAGAGGAAGGGAAACAACAGAGCTGGGATATAATAGAAGAGATTAGTCTTTCACAACGTGATAAATCAAGATTCAAATTTCTACTAAGAGAAGTATTCACATTTAATACTCGACAATACCTCGAATAGGATTGCTTCTAATAAAAGATACTTTTACTTTAGTTAAAAAAAAAAAAATCAGAGGACGATAGTTTAGCAGGAGTGGGTCTAATAGAAGGAGTTAATCTCTCGCAACATAGTGGGCTAAAAAATGTGCCAACATTCGGTGCTCATAATATCTAAAATATAATTGTCTCCCATAAAAGATACTTGTGCCTTTTCTCTCTCGCTGGATGGTGCCGTTCTCAGATTTGATTACATGACAATAATGGGGACGCACTGAAGCTTTGGGTGCATAAATGTGTGTGCATGTCATGTATTGTAGATTTCTTTCAAGACAACTTGTCAATCTTCTTCCTCCTTGTCATTCTGCAACGCAGAGACGCTAACAAGATAAATCATGACCACCCTCTCATTCTCATAATTATCGCTCCTATTTCATAATTTTCTTCTTCCTTCCCTCAAATAAACTATTCACTATCTGCTTTCCCATATGAATAATGCTTCTACGGTGAGCAGAGCTCGAGTGACATATAGTGACCAGTGAAAATCCCAAGTAAATACCACGCTACCTCCACTCCTAGATATAAAAACTAGTTTGTAAATTACATTACAAACTTATTTACACTACGAACTAGCTGTTATATCACAATCTCTATCTGTCTTACTGAGGAAGAAGAATCCACAAGGCCATCCGCCTCTTATCCACTTCACGAAGCTCAATCAAGTGCACTTCTTCCATCAGGTTATTAATCATTTTATTTATTTGATAAGATCATTGAGCAGCATAACAAACCTCAAGTTCTCACTTCCACCGACAGCTCTGCACAAAATGCGTCTGCTACTGCTAATGAGCTACAATATAGTTAAGCTCAGTTCCCATTGTGAAAGGAAAAACACCATTGCGCATCCTGACAATGGCGCCAACCTGATACCCTGCTGCTCATTTGGAGTCATCTTCTTACCAAAAACTCAAATTACTCTAATTTATATCCTTCGTCTTTTTCCATTAATCCACTTTCATATGTGGGGTTTGTAGTAGAATTCTACAACGAACGTTTCTCACCAGCGTGCACCGTAAAAAAGTAATGATTTGCGCTGGATCTTTTAAAACGGACAAATGAAAAGGAATTGTATATAATAATATGTTGCCGAGTAGTGTGACCACCGCCCTTTCCACTATTTGTGAAGTAGCCCCACCATGTCTGTCGCCTTCATTTCTGACACACTACAGTCTCGACACAGGTGGCTTTATCTTCATTATATTCCTAACCCCCGACCCTTCCCTGCGCATGCATTATTTAATTTCCTCTTCTCAATTAAATTCCTAGCCTCCTTCTACTTCTACAGCTAGCTTCTCAGTAACGTTTCATCAGGCCGCACGAAAGTATAGAGAATAATAATGGAGATTCTTAGATCGTCTGTTTTGGCCTCACGACAGGCAGTAGGTGAAATTTCTCCTCGGTCCGCAACAAGTCAATAAACTTTTCGTTTTTCATTGACCTTTTAATTATTTGTCAGTACCTAACTCCTTTATAAAACCTAGTCCCGTATAGTAGAAATTGAAAATTGAAATGCAAGACTTCTTACATACGAGTATTATTTTATATTTTATAGCAAAATATTACACCCTAATATTCACGCATGACCATTCCAACAAACCAAATTAGACCCATAACAACTTGAAAACCATTAGTGGCACGCTCTGCCAAATTTTGTATGGATTATATAACCGTGTTCACTCAAAATGGCGGTTAATTCGCAGCATATCCCTAATCTAAAATTTTGTCATCACCCAAGATAACGTAGCGGAAAACGCATAAAAATTATGGGAAACAAATGCATGGGACTTGTACATCAAAGTGATATTTTGAAGTTTTCATTAGTAACTTCCTTTACCTGCCTTTTTTTTTTTAAATACATCTTTAATTTTTTTTTTTTTTTTAAAAATCCTACAGAAGCAGAATGCCCGCAAGGTCTAATGGCCATGCGACCGATAAACAGGAAGTTTGTACATTTCAATAAGCTGGGAGAGCCCACAGTTGGGTCAAACTGTCTTCACTCGCATAAAGAACATCCTGACATGGCGTGTCACGATCAGCAATTTCAAGGTTCCTCTGTAGATTATACTGTCCCTCTTTGAACGAAAAAAACTAGGGATCAATAAGGTGGCCTCCAATTTAATTACCAAGTCCCTTCTATCTCCCCAATACATCAGGGCATAATTTAGGAGACATCAGAAGACGCACTCTTTTCAATCTTCGTGGCATCCAAATGGAGCTGTGGCGCGCCATCAGAGAGCGCATCCTTCACGTTACACACAAGAATGGTTATCTATGTATTTTTAATGCATAACATAGAAATTTTAACAACTTGCACTACTTACAAGCTATAATTGTCTAACCTTGCATGACGTAGAAGGGTCGAATTGTGCAACGTGAAATCTGAAGCCAGATGAATTATCTGGGTTGGCCATCTTGATCACGGGTTGATCTGAGATGCTGCAATGCTTTGGAAGACTGAAGTCTGGGTGCACCAAGCATTCAGCATTCCCGGACGAGGCAATTCCGCGAGAAGAAGTCTGATATCCATTGGACTCGTCAAAATTCAACCCTGTCTGAGGCAGTGTCATGGATTGCACTCCTCCTGGTAAACACATTGGATGCAAGCTCAAACCATTTCTCATCATTAACATCTGCACAGCCAAGCACGAGTGTTCAATTAACAGTGTCTTTGAAGGAATAACAGACTACGCATGCCCGTTGATGTGGCAATCCTAACGGAAGGACTTTTTGTCCCAATTAACGGCCGGCGATGAATAAATTAACGAATGCTTCAGACGATTTTTGTGTCAAACAAGTTTATCCATACAGTGTAACTGAAACAATTCTCCATCGCAAATCATTCTTGAGAACGCAAACACACAACTCCTACAATAATTCTTTTCTTTTCTATTAATTCAAGCTCAGCAATCACTTCACAGTTTTAGAAGTCTCACGTTAACAAACTCGCACAACTTGTTATTAGTCCTGAATACATGGCCTAGAAGTGATATATTGCACCGATCCAAACAGATTTAAAAAGAAATTTCTTTTTACCTCGAGTCCAAGTATTGGTGGCATGCAAATTCGTTCGTTTGATATTGAACCGTCCATGGTAAACAATAATATCCTCTAGCAGGAAAAATGAAACTCGGAGCATAAATTGAAGGCCAATAGAATAGTGAACAAATTTTATATGGTGTTTGCTGGGTTATACATGTTTTCAGATTATCATTCGATATGAATCAATGAAAGAACCCAGAAAAAATAAACATGGAACTTATAGAACAGCAACAAATGAAATCATAAATATAATCATGTAATACCACAGACGCAGGCTGACAGAAAAACTCACTTGCACTTGAAACTGAAGCTGCTTCAAATATTCAATCGCCTCGTCCAGCATTGAAGCTTTATCCGTCTATTGGAAACAAAGAAACTCAATCATCGGAAAGAAAAGAAATGAAATATTTTTGCAGGATCAAACCCAGGACAAAGGTTTAATAGAATACCTTGTTAGAATTTGGAATTAAGTTCTGTAAGGCCTTCATTTTCTCGTTAATCCTACTCCTCCTTCTCTGCCTCGTCGATTAAGACTTGTCAACATGAAGTCCGAAATTGGTACAATATGTAAGAACCGCGAGCAGTTAAGAAGCTAACCTTTTCAGACATATTATGAACCTCTGCAGCTCTGCTCCTCTTTGAGGAAGTACGTGCTGGGACTCGCTGTGTCTGCGACGCCTCACCATTCTTCTAGACCCAAAAGGAATCCACCCAGAACAGAGTAACTCATTAATAAAAACCGAATCTCGGTTTGGCTACTGTGATTTCTTGAGATAAAATAAATAAAGAAAAAAGAGAAAATTTCAAAGTTAAGGCAAAATGCAACTTTAATATTCAACAAGTATTGTAACACGTCCACCTCATTTTCAACATTTTGTTTGTTTTGTACTGGGTGGAAGGGGATTCCCAAAAAGCAATGATGTGAAAAGATCATTTCAAAAGTTAAAAGGGTCAAATTCATTACATATCTTCATTTTGATCACCAACAACAAAAAAGGTAAATAACTGGAGTAAATCTGGCAGCCAAAACGAATTTCGTCAAATACGGGCAGCGCTACCTCGACGGCACAAATGAAATCGCCGGGATCAATCTCCGGCGAAATCCTGTGTTCTTTGAAGCAAGTATTTTCATCAGAATCGTCGATACGAGTCGGAAAGAACTCATTTCCAGTAGCCTCTATCACATGAGCCGGAACGTACGCATAGGGATCAGAAAAGTCAAAAGAATCAGACACTACACCGGAAGACCCAACAGACTTGCCATTTTTGTGAGGGGAGTCCGACCCGGATTGGCCAAACCCAGCGGTCCCCACAGGCGGAGGGAGCCACGGCGGCGCTGAGGTTTTAGGTTTGGAAAGTATGGAAGGGGAGGGCGAGTTATGGAGAAGGTGGGTGAAGAAGGTGGAGAAATCGTCGGAATCAGAAGGCGTGGCGGAGGCGGTGAGCAGAGAAGGAGGAGTACCGTACATATCAGCCATAGATAGATAGATAGATAGATGCGAAAGAAGAGAGAATGTTCAGGAGGTTAGGAAGGATTTGGATTCATGTCCAAATTGCGCAAAGACGCCTGCGTTCATCTTTTGTACTTTTGTTGGGTTCTCGCTTGGGCAGTTGGGTGCAAGTGTCTCGGCCATTTTTGGTTAAGCTTTGCATTTAGCACTTAGCAGTGGGTTTAACGTTTGAGCGTGCCTTCAGATCAAAAAAAAAAACGTTTGAGCGTGCCTTCAAACCGCCTGAAACGATGCCGTTTTGTGCAAACAGTTCATGCAATTTGATTACTCTCCCGCCTCCCTCACTTTCCTGCCCCTCTGCATATTTGCATTGCGTGTTCTTTTTTGCCAACTAACTTTTTTCCCAAATACTTTTTCCACTTGATCTTTCCTTTTTTTCTGTTTTTTTTAATAAAGTGATCGAATTTTATATTTAGAAATTAATGTTCTCCCATTAAAAATATTTATAACAAATAATTATTGAATGACTATAAATTTTTTGCTACTTATTTCGTTTGGAATCTATACATATAATCTTGATATTGTAAATATAAAAATATCCATTCTTTTTTCCCCAGCTAAAAATATCCATGTTAATTCATATTTAGCCATTGATTTATTTATAAGAAAAGGGAAATAGTATGATTTTTAAACTTGATGTCACAACTCTTTTTCTAGAACTTTATCCTCATGGACTACGGTGCTGGTGGAGTACCTCTTCTTCTTCTCTTTTTTTTTTTTGCCTAAAGATGGGGTATTAATTCGAATTCAAAACCATTATCAGTCATAATACAATTTTTTAAAGATTCTCTCTCTACTAACGCCACTTTTTATTCTAATTTTTTTTATTATGTGTCAATTTATTTCCTGTTAATAAAATTAACTTTTCACAGGGTATGTTCTTTTCTTTGAAAAAAAAAAAAACGTATGACTAATTTTATAGAAGATATTAAATTAAAGTATTATATATAATATTGCTCTCATGGTGAACAGTAAAATTACAGAACCATATTGTGCAAAAGTCTCGTCCTTTATAAAACAAAATATAGCATTCGAAAATTGATTCTGATTTTAAAAAATCACACTGAACACTAGATAATTGAAAATTGCAGAGGGAATTAATGTCATTGTTTTTGCCCCAAAATTTGTTCATGCAACGGTCGGTGGGTGTCCTTATCTTGTAAGTTTTTTTCATTTAAAAAATCTGCTCATGTTTATAACATATGAATCTTATGAGGAAAAAATTGAAAATATAAAACATTAAAAATGAAAACATATTAAATTCACGTGGAGGAGAATTAAAATCACAGAAAGAATGCAGGATATGCGAGAGAGATTATTAATATTGCGAACTCATGAACAATATGACCTCCCATTAATTGACTATATATATTTATTTGTATATTTATAACCATATGAATTTACTCGCTGTGATCAATAACATAAGAAATCTTTTCAAAAGAAATCTTGAAGCAAAATTTAACAGGCTGATGTAATAACTAATAACAATTTTTTATTTTTACCTGTTGTTATGAGAAGGAAGGAGAGTTTTAAACGCTGGAAAAAATGGAGAGAATTTTCCTATGATATTCTTTAACAAAAGTAAAACATATAATTTTCATCAATTTAAAAAATATTTAACGATTCAGTTATCATTTTAATTTGTGAAAAAAATGTGATTTGTTACTGTAAATGAATGGATGCACTAGTTTGACTTGGAACATTGAATCGGAGGGATGGAGGGGCAGATGTGAATGAGAAGAAAGAAGGGATATGACTGAGCGAAGCAAAATAAATAAGAGAATATAGGAAGGAAAGAGAGAACAGAGGAGGAAAAGGGCAAAAGCAAAGTCAAAGACGTCATAACCCAACCAACCAAACGGACAGCATCAGCAAATGCCATATATTTATTCATTGATTGTTGCATTTGAAGATAGGGAACCCAGGGCAGTGCAATTCCCGAGGCAGCCTTTGATTGCACTCCACCTTCCTCCAACGCTCTTGTTCTGCCCTTCCCCCACAGCCCTCTCTCTTATCCCCTCTCTAGAAGCCTACCCCCTCAAACTGCATACATTTTCCTTATACAAATATCAGGCAAGGCTCGGGCTTAACTCAAATCAAGGGCGTGGTGCTCAATCTAGCTCCTTTCTTAGATAATCATATGTTGGGTAAGGCAAACCCACACCAGATTCTCAAACATTTATCCAGACGCTCCTTAGATATGGGATGCCTCTAAGGGTTGTGACGAGGAATCGAACTCGTCTCTTGGTAGTGAGAGGATACTGTTCTTATTGCTCAACCACGGACGACGGGCGCCCTCAATCTTATTAAGGCTTCTAACTGTTGCTCTAATCAGGCTGAAGGGAACTGTTCTCCTATGGCCCAAATACACTCAAAATTCTCTTTTTAATCCCAAATATAAAAGTTACTAACAGAGTCCTTTTTTTCATCCTAAACATGAAATCTCAGTTCACTTCATTTCTTATATTTATTTTTTTTGCCCTCAAACTATCTATATCCATGCTTCCTCACCAATTGTAGCAATCAAATTCAAACAGTTACAAAGACATTTGTTACCCAGAAATATTTTAGCAACATCCGATTCCTTATTTTACAACTAATTACGTCCCTTTTCACATAGTCAGATTGGTTAAACAGCTATTACATTAAAAACTGAATAATAAGTATTATACAAACTAGGGTCAAGTTACCGAAGCCTTGTCAAACTATAGGCACTGCCGAGCTAAAAACAAATAACATTAAAGGATAAAAATCAAATTACATTATCGAAGGATCATCACAAATATTAAATACATAAAAAAGACTAAAATATAAGATGATGTCATCATCATCAATACTTGGAAAGTAAGAATCACCAGCAACCAACCGCATGAACCTAAACTTACATCAAACAGTAAAATCTTTTCTTTTTTTTTGGGGGAAACCACAGACAAAAGCGTCATTCACAAGAATTACGCGTGAATCGAATGATGATAATAGAGAAGCACCAAAGCCACACACATGCTTCTCACCCAAACCACAAGCAAACCACAGCTTTTCAGCCTGAATCAGACGCTCTTCAAGTATATTTGGCATAGCGATCCGTCAGCCATAATGAATCGAACCAAAACAATGATTTTGCACGTCATCGGCAACGTAAAAATGCTTTTGACAAAGACAGTAAAAAGTAAAAACCAATCGTGATCAGCTAGAATAAAGATAAATTATGCTTCCTTCACCCAACACCAATTATCAGTCCCATAAAGTGCAAGATCATTGGCTAAAATAAATAAACAAAATAGTAAAATCGAAAGTGAGGGAAGGGGGAAGGGAAGACATTTGTGATTTGTCAGATGAACAGGTGCTTGAGCATTCACTAACGCTATATATAGAATGAGGGTATGACAACTGACAAGGCAGCAACGCACGAGAGAATTCCGCTTCAATTAACCTGAGTTTCCAAGGTAATTGAACCAATTCTCTCCATCTCCATCTCCAATTTTGTTTTTGGCGGAATCAAATGCCTGAGAATTGAATAGTTGTCTTGTCTCACGAGGCCAAGCCCGTTGTCTTACAAATGGGACACAGATTCTTATGCATTAGCCACTGTTTGATACAGCCTGTGTGGTAATCATGCCCGCAATCAAGGGTTCCTATATCATCTCCATCATTATACTCCTCCTGCACATGATACAATCAAGTGATTAAGAATTGCGTCGGTGATTATGGATATAAAAGAAGCAAAGAAGTTGAGACAGCCAGGTTCACCTGACAGACACAGCACGGTTCTGCCTCAAGTTTAGATCCTTTTTCAACTGAATACTTCTTCTGTTTCAAAAGTTTCATTACAGTTTCTTCACTCAACCCAGTACTCACATTTCCAATTCGCTCCTCTAGAGCCAGCAACTCCTATAAAATGAAGTGGCAACTTGAATATTAGAAGGAATTAAATACAGCAGAGATTACACAAGGAGGAAAACAAATGTCATGTCAAATATTCCTACCTCGTAAGACATGTTATCAACATCAAGACGCATATCTCTGTGTCGATCATGAATATCAGCCATTCCAGAAAAGACTGACTGATCAAGAATCATAACATCCTGTGACAAAGTCAAGGCATAGATATTACATGGCTAATTTAATAGCTCACTGCCTACCTGAATGAAATGATGAACAGATAAAGACCACACTGCATGTGTGGGGGCCCAGGCAACTTCCCCAGTGGGGGGAAAAAAAAAACACAAATTTATTAGCCCATCCAAATATGCTTGCATCTTAAGAGGGAGGAAACACTTCACATGATTATTTCTATGTTCTATGCAGGAAAGCAAAGTTTATGTTCATATTTTAGCATTTTTTGACTCTTCTACAGCATTTACTTCAAATAATCCCTTCACTCGTGACAAATATGATTAGGCCACAAAGGCAAGAAAACCACATCAACATAATGATTGTTGACAGTACAAGCAATCATATCTTATACATTACAACTTAATCAGATATCAACCAGATTTGAAGACAAACACTACTGAAAGCTAAAAGAGAATTAGTCAAAAAAGAAAAAGGATGTCTAATCAAAATATGGAGTTTGTCAACCCACCCAATTAATTTATGAAAACTAACCTCAAATCGCAGGCCTCCACCCCTTCGCATGAGGCCCAAAACATTACGGAGCTGCATAACAAAAGGGCAAAGAAAATGTAAGGTGCAAGAGAAAAATATTCAGAGATGTAAGTTAGACATTGTAATTGCCTAGGTATAAAGAACAGACAGCTCCAAATCAATCGCCCATGTCAATTAGACAGGGAAATGGAAATGTTCCATGCAAGCAGTAAGAGGGCTTAAGACTTGAAAATCAATTATGTAACTTTCTAAAACAACACTGCTTGTTTTCAGACTTGTTTTGATCACCAGAAATCATTGCTATTACACGTTGATATGTTCAGAAGTCTACCTCATCCCCACTCTGGGGTTTCCCAAAAACTCAGCCTAAATTTACTTTTTGACGGTATTGGCAGAGCAAGCTGAATACATTGAATTTGACAAATACAGATTTTTAAAAGGTCAGTTCCCTCTAAAACACTTTTTGAAAAAGACTTGCTAAACTTTTTATGTTAAAAACACCAAATCATCCAAGTTCCTCCACGCCTTCAATGCTATGTCAAAGCAAAAATCTTTCCCTGCAGTGAAAAATAAGAAATCATTGAAAACATGAACATAAGAAAGGGAAGAGTCAAATACAGACCTCAGATACTAGTCTACTACTACTTCCTTCACCAGCAGCAGCCAAACTTCGCAATGAATAAGGTATTCCAAATTCAGCGTCACCTTGCCTCTCCATCCACAAAGATCTTGGGTGTGATGAATGATGTCCTTGGCCACCAGCCCCAGAAGATGGCACCCTTGCTTCAGATGAAGCACTAGGACCAGAGCGCAAGGAATGATTATTGCTTGGATTTTGACTTCCAGCGGTCTCAGGAGGAGGAGAAAACAATGATCGACGAACATATTCAGACAATCTACGTGGATATTGTGGAGGATTAGGACGAGAAACCCATGCGAGGCAGATGACTGATTGATAGCTGAATTTGATCCAGCCCGTGAAGAAGAAGCAACATTTCCAGACATGCTTAAATTTGTGCTACCTGAAGCTCTAGTTGTTGGATTTCGGACAATATTTCTTAAATCAGTTGCAGGTACGAACACTGGGCGATCAAAAATGTTTCTAGAAATACTTCTTGAGCTTGATTCTTCCTGTGGTTGGTTATCCCTCTCTGCACAAAGGATTGGGCTTGATGATTGGCTGTTGCTTGAACTAGAACTACCATTCCATCGTAATGATTGCATATTCCTTGGCAAAGAAGGAACATGGATCACAAGGGGCTGGCTTTGAGGAATTACATTATCTACCATTGGTGCTGCCCTCAAGTCCAGGGAGTTATCAACAGGCGGGAACCTATGTGACATTGACGAGGTTGACATACTAGAATGCCTAATCACACTCCCAGTAGAGAATGCAGGGGGAGGAATTGAATCTTGCAGGCCTGAAGGACTTATCCTCAAACGGAGATTCCTGTGGAAGCTTCCAGTGCTCCCCACATCATTTGAATCAGGAAGGTTTTCAGGGGTTTCATCCCCCATTCCCAGCCCAAGTCTAGCATTTACTTGCTCAGATGAAGCAGATCTACTTAAACTGCTCCCAGCATTATCCTGAGTTGGAAGAGTGTTCCAAGCACTACTTTCTGCATGCTGACTAGAACTAGAACTTCCACCATCCAAAGATGGTCCGACATTTTCTTCAACGGCCTTTCTTTTACAAGATGCACGGCACACATCTAGAGAACAACCCGACCTAGCATCAGTGCCTTCTAGCACAAAGCTGTTATTTCCAGGAGGAGGAGGAAAAGGACCAGAAACAATGCCAGGTGGAACATGCTCGTTTACTGATCCACTAGATTTGTGCAAGTTCGGATGCTCCAAAAGCTGGCTGTTATCACCACCAACATCTGCCAAGCCAGCATTTAAGTTGAGATTCGGTGACATGTGAGAACCGGAGTTGTGCATATATGTGGGACTGGAATTAACATTGTCAGCCGAAAGAGAGGAAAAGGACCAGAAACAATGCCAGGTGGAACATGCTCGTTTACTGATCCACTAGATTTGTGCAAGTTCGGATGCTCCAAAAGCTGGCTGTTATCACCACCAACATCTGCAAGCCAGCATTTAAGTTGAGATTCCGGTGACATGTGAGAACGGAGTTGTGCATATATGTGGGACTGGAATTAACATTGTCAGCCGAAAGAACAAAGTTGGCTCAAAGTGCCTTCCTTCTTGCTCTTGGACCAGCTGCAGCACTAGCACTAATTGGAGATGTCCATCCAAGTTCTCTTTTCTGCAGATTGTTGTTGATTTTCACTCTGGGTATTACTAGAACTGGCTCACCTAAGCTCCATCCACTTGAATTCTGCCATTCATGGCTTATAGAATTATATATGGTGGGTTCATATCGTTCAAAGGAAGTAAATACTCAGGTATATTAGTATCATTATCAGCAGGATTCCGCATATTATTCCAGCAAATTTGCTGATCCACAGTAGGATTACTTGATGTGGATCCACAATTGAATTCTAAGGTTTCAGGCAAGGAACCAATTGCACCCCTCTGGCCTTGCATTGGGGCAGCACTAAAAGATACTCTAAACAATGTGGGTGAATATGTATCGAGAACCTCAACAATGAAGCACACTGTGCATCAAGTTTGCCAGATCTGTACAACAAAGCAAAGGAATGATCATTAGGCATTGAAAAACAGAACAAATCTTAACCAATTCACTATCACCAACAAGAATTTATAATCACATGCAAAATAATCGCTGCCAGCTCAAGCAAAGCAAAGGAATGATCATTAGGCATTGAAAACAGACAAATCTTAACCAATTCACTATCACCAACAAGAATTTATAAATCACATGCAAAATAATCGCTGCCAGCTCAAGCAACTTGTGATGCAATTTTAACCCATGAAAGCATTCACAAGCACAAGCACAGATATTCTCCTGAAGAGCTCAAGTGAGGTGTAGCCATTTGGTAAAGCATCACAAATTGGATTGTTTCTTTATGCCAAGACCATTTCACAGGAAAAAGCCCCTCCAAAAGGGCATGTGTAAAACTTGTAATGCTTCTTAGTATAATTGAGATTAATCATGCAAGCTGATAATGAATTATATGTATGCACTTTATCATATCTATTATTTGACAAGATGCAGCAACAGTATAAATCTCAGAGCAGCCTAGAGGTAAGGTACTCCTCAACATAAGATGTTACTGGCATCCGTTAGTAAATTGTCAAATATCAACCACTTCCCGGCTCATATGTATAATGTAGCTTATGTATAGTCACAATGCCAAGATTGTACATTATACCTCAAGGTAATGAAATGGATGTCTCTCAACAAACCAAAGCCACGTCGGTCAATAAAGTCAACATACAAGAACTAAAGATAGCGCGAGGCATGCTTATTGCCTAACCCCCATGAAGGATAATGCATACGCGTTGCCAGGCATCATATCCACCACCAGTGAAAACTCTTTCATCACTTAAGGTTCAAGCAATACAGATGCTTAACAGGTAAAATTAATCCCACAAATGCACCATAACCTACTGATGAAATCGTAGAAAAACAACTCCCCCCGGGGGGGGGGGGGAGACCATATGGTTGACACACATTAAAGTCAACTCATTTTGCAGGATAAGATGAACCAAGCGGAATAGGAACTACAGTCTCCGTGACATCAGCTCGATCATTGGCAGCACAAAATTGGATACAAATCATTCAAGACCAGCTTGAATTAGACGATTACAACTATGAACAAGTGAATAAGAACCAACAAAAAGCAGCAGAATTCAACACACAAAGCGGTTTAAGATTATGACCAAAAATTTCAATAGCCACAGGGAAAGCCCCAAATCATCACATAAGACCAATACTAAGATGAAATCCGAAATTTTTTCTTTTTTTAAAAAATATATATTTATAAAATAAAGGGGTGAAATAAAACTTGATATTCATTGATTCAGCAAAATCACCGATTGATCAGACCCAAGATAATGAAAAACAACGTACAAGAAGCGGAAGGAACTCACCAGATGAGACCATTTAAAAAAAGGCCGATCTACCGTAAAATCAGAGGACGAGCAGGAGAAAGAAGGAAAACAAGGGTAACTGCCCATGTTGGCGGCCGGCGGCTTTGGTTGGATTGAAAGTCCGTTCCCTGGTTCCTCCTTCCAGGGCAGACAAAGAGGGCAGAATACGGGGTGAGAAATGGGAAGAGGGACAAGGAGAGAGAGCGTTGGGTGGTGTGGTGGAGGATTGAATTGGGATAGAGAGCAATGGGAGGAAAAAATGAAAGGAAAAGATTAAAGAGGACAGTAATCTTTTTAATTCACAAAAATGACCCTACAGAGACAGGCAGTAATTTACAACTAAGAATAAGAAAGAAATGAATAATAGTAATATTAAAGATATTGATGCGGAGGAAAAAAAAATCCTGATTAATATGGTAGGGTAATAACTGACAAGGAAAGGAAGCCAAAGCCCGTTTCCAAAAGCTCACCTCTTTGCCTTTTTGTTCCTCATTTTGTTTTTCTCTGACATGCATCCCCCTCCCGCAAAAACAAACCGATTCAAAGTAATAAATGAGAGGTAGTAAGAATGAGAAGGTGATTAGTACGATTAAAAGACTCGGCTTCCAATGCGCGCCGAACACAGCCCCACTGCTCCTCTGTTCCAATCTCTTTCACGCCAAGCACCTCCCTCCCGCCTCCCCTACCTTCTCTTTTACCATCCCATTCACACGCTCGCTCACCTTCACGGTTCACATGCCATGCTTCCTTGTGACTTGGGCCCCATTTGATTTGTGTGTAATAACAACGCAGAAAACAAACTGCATGATTATACACGTGGCTCTATTTTTAATCATATCGGGCCCACGCCTTGATGACTTGCATTTTTCTCCTTTTGTTTTTTTAATCTCTCACCCCTCGTCCTCATGTACCCCAAATCTGGGCGCTTCCTTGGATTGATTTTGACTTCCCATGTCCGGTGGACTTCATTATTTATGCGGCCTCCATTCAACAAAATGACCACCAAAAATTAAAAGCAGGGAAACATCATAGGGTCGCCCGACGAATCAATTTCGCTGTCGTCGGGTACCATTTTAGCTTTTAGGTGTCTCGCTTAACCAAATGGTAACGTATGGCTGGCAAAGATGATGAGAGGCAACTTGCAGTGTTTTGGGCTTTTAGCCTTTTAACTTGGTGTGAAAGCTCAACCAATTTCATGGATGAATTTGCTTTGCTTTAAAGAGGCGTGAAGTGAGTACTGAATAAATATACAGATGGATCTGACCTAAAATTCTTGGGTATGTGGGTGGCTCCACCACACAGTCTTTTGCTATTTTTTCAGTCTTTTATATTCCTTTTGTTGTTATCTTGGCATATGATGCAACGATTGGATTCTGATCTTGTTTTAAACACGGCGTTGTTGGGTGAATTTTGGCCATGTTCTTGTTTTTCCCACTTGCTTTGTGCCTTCCGACCCGTTCAAAAGATGGGGTTGTTTTGCTTTAATTTCCATGTTAGCCACTGAATGAATATTTTATTGGGTTTATGCCCCTCATAAAGGAAGTCGTGGCTTGTGGGTTCCCTCATCTGGCTCGCTTGCGTGGCTCCTTCCAGAAGCAACCCACAGACATAGAGCCATCGAGCTCCCAAAGATTCCAATATCCAATATCATTAGAATAATATAATGAATCTCCCACCAAAGCCAATATGATAAGTTATCCACGCTTTGCCCACCGGTTCACCCCCTCTAATTTCTCTATTTTCTTAATCATACTGTTCTCATTTCGTTTTTTTGTTTTTTTGTTTTTTTAATGCACGATGCCTTTTACGTTATCTGACAACCTCCAGATTACACGCACATAATTGTTACCCACTGCTGACAGATTCACCCATCAACTTGTCTACTATACCATGCCCTCTCCTATACAATCCCCTAAAGTCAAATATTTACATAGATATATAAATAGAGGAACGCACATGAACATATACATAAAATATGTGTCGTAAGAAAGTTGTGAAATTAACAAGCATTGTTAGATACGGCAAATTAAATGCACATCTTCAACCCCCCGGGGCACATCTAGTTTGCTGGAGCTATTAATTGTTATACTGTGTCACCATTAGGTACTTACAAACACAGTACAAGGACTTGTGCGACTGTAACTTGATAATGGGATCCAGGACCACCAGTTTGCTGCGTTATCTTCATTATTGCCGGTGTTAAAATGGCATATCCTTTTATTTTTAATATAAGAGTCAAATAACTAATTTTGAAATGTTAAGAATATTAGTTAATTAGTTGGTTGAGTATAACAAACGTGTGATAATTTACAATTAGCTCTTATAGAAAGAAGCAGGGAGATAGTATTAAATTACTTTTAAAAAATGTGTCCTTCCTCTCTCAATATTTCTATCACCATGCATCACACGTAGGTTAATTGACTTGTACAGTTGACTTAACCATAAACGCATGTAAATGCTTTTAAATCTTTTTACATCCTTATAGGAACGGAATGAACTCGGGCGTCCGTCATATTCCTGGACAATCAACGGCGCAAAGCTTAATATAAGATTTAATGAGATGATCAATGTCAATAGACCAAACGATCGTAACAGATGCTGTTTAATTACTTGTGCTAAATTTCTAACTAATGTAAATATATTGAAGCTTCAGAATATAAATTTGTTGCAAAAGTTTTCGCTTATGACCAACTAATGTTATCGTAGAAGTGTCAGAACGTAGTGACGTTGCCCTGTTCTGTTAAAAAGCTAATGTTAAACGTCAAAATATTGATTAGTGACGGTCGCCAATATTTTTAATGGTAAGAAGTGATATTACTCTTCTGGTCCTTAATATAAGACCCATTTAACTAATTTGATTAGACTAAAGAAGTTAGGTAAGTTAGTTAATTATAAGAAAAATGATACATTTTTCCTAAAATACCATAATCATCTTTCTTAATACCCCATTTCCCTCTTCTACTTGATTATGGTTGAGAGAGTATTCATATGGGTAATTTAAAGAAAATTGATAAATATGAGAAATGAGTCTTATATTTAGGATCAAAACCAACACAAGAATTGGGTCCTATATTAAGGACCGAAGGAGTATTTCATTTTATATTTTTGGGGCACTTGGAATCCAGAAAGAGCTCTGAACCGACATTGCTCTATGTTAAATGTCTATATGAGTGGATTCCGTTTGCAATGAGATTTGGAAATTAACTGCGAAACGGTGAAGGCGAGAGCCCAGTGAGCGTGTATATGAGTGATTTGCAGCAAAAGGGCAGTGAATCAAGGAAAAAACCAAGTGGGTCACTTGCATAAGTATATGCAATGGGCGACGCATTGTCAAACAAGCTCTATATATTGCAATCATTATGCCCATCTCACTTCTGTTTCTCTTTTCTTTGCATAAGTCTTTGTCAAACCCCAATCATTATGCTCTGATTGTATATATCCAAATAATTGACCAACACAATGCTGTTTCACTTTCAAACGCCCAAATCGTGCATGTGATCACCACTCACGTTAACTTGACAATTTACTGGAATCGAAGTTTCACCCACCAAACGACCAATTGTTTTTATCCACACCGCAAAGATTCCAAGGGCTGAGAGTAACCAGTCCTGGCATGCACGTTAATGTTTTTCAAGATTAAATTTTGATGCTCTTGTCTTACTTTTCCCCTCTTCCCAAATTAACTGGGCTAGCTAGGTTGGTGGGACAGGCTAGAATTGCAACGATCGATCCAAATAGGTGCCTCATAATATTCTTACATTTTATGTTCCCAATTGGCAATAATATATGCATTGTTTTGCGAGGAAGCGGTGGTAGTGGTGGCTGTATGCTAAACACGCGGTCAAGAACCATGTTGAACAAGGAGGAATTGGTTTTACCCAATATCTTTTGGGTATGAGCTGTTTTCTTCTTTTCAGAACCAGGAGTATCGGAGCATTATTATTAGGTTAGGTTTAAATATTATCAAATGTAAATTGACGTGACTCTTCCGATGTACTCTCCCAGTTTTTATTATAAATTTTAAATAACTAATTTATACATAATAAAAAATTAGTTTACACTAGTTAAAAATAATAAACAGGTTATAAATATATTTTTGTTTTCAAATATACTCTTATAATAAATGAGAAAAAATAAAAAAGAATGCATAAAAAATTATGATAAGAGAAATAATCAAGGACAACATTAAAAAAATACATTAAATATTAAAATAAAGCTAAATTATAATTTATAAATAGGATAGGATGGGGTAATTTTTTCCCATCTTCAAGGTTTGGGCTCACACATTTTAACTTCCGTCTACTCAACACAACCAACAACAATAGTAAAAAGTGTCTCTGATACACGTGCTTCTTTTTCCTATTCACGGTTTTATGAAAATTCAGCTAAAGATTAAGAGTTTTAAAGATTAAATAATTAAAAGATTATGACGGGTTAAATTTTGTAGACAGCGCAGGAGGATATTAAGGGAGTATGAGGCAACGTTGACAAGGAAAAGGAAGACATAAACGTGGGAAGACAATGATTGATGGATGAATTTCACTAGTATCGTTCATAATTAAGAAGCTCCTAGATTTTCATATAAGATTTTTATTGACATTTAATTACAGTTATGCATCAAGGTTAGCTGGTTCGATACCACCCGGGAATTTGTCCTTTTGTTAGATTCTCTGGGAATACGAGCATATATCCTTATCCTTGATAATTTGTTTAAAAAAATTCAACGAACTTGGAATATACCTATTGATCAGCAATAAGGCGCCTAAAATATTAAATAAAAAACAAATCATTTAACATCAACATTGGATAAAGAAATTTGCCCCAAAATAATCGGCATTCCCCAGCTTCACGCCAAATAAAAGAGATGGAGCGTCCCAACTGGGCAAAATGAACATCGACCAAAGCAAAAGGAGAGGTGGAAATTAAAGCACAGAAAAATGCCCACATCAAATGAACCTTAAGGCCGACCCTCTATAAGTTGGGCTTCACAAGTACTCATACTCACGCAACTGAAAGCCCATCTTCAAAGTCCAGAAAAACAGGCACGCCAACTTATTTATTGAACACTTTTACTTGAAAGCCGGTGTTTTTTTAACGTCAAACAGAACAAAACGCCGAAACAGTTTGCGGAGACACGTAATTCATAAACTCGTCATCAGATTCCAGCGCCGTCATCAACGCCGGAGGAAGACACGTCTCCAAATCTATGCTTCCCCCTCCTTCACGACCCGGATACGACGTCACTTTCCCATTTAACTTGTTGGCGTACCCACTTCGAACACCCACCGCTTTCCCCATTCCGAATTCATTCCCATACATGTTGAATCTGGGTGAGCTACCCATCAGCACGCTATAGGGGTCAAAGACCTGACCCGGTTGAATCACCATCGGCCTCTCCAACCACTTTTTCACAAGCTCACGCACTGCTCTGTCATTGTGGTTGGCGACAGCCACGTGTATCTTCCAGGCCGCCCATCCTAGGTCGTGCTCTAGCAACTCCCGCGATGTCATCTCCGCAGCCACCACGTGGATAGAGTTCCCGAAGTACTCTTCCGGCAAAGGCGGTTCCATTCTTGATCTGTTATTTGCCGCCAACCTACAGATTGTTTTTTGATCACCGGGGGGACTCCGCACGCGTGTTAGGCACCTCCATACGAGTGCCGATAAGGACTGGAAGGACGAGATCTCGGTACTGTTGGAATCTTGGTTGGCCTTCGCTTTCAGCTTCGCAATAGACTCGGCTGTGAAATGGAATATTCTCTCTCTAAGACGGGGTGCTTCGAATCTGCTTATGAACTCGTCGTGATGTGTGAAGGGAAGATTGACTGGGGGAACACAACCCTCTGGGAACCAGCGATTATGAATCGGCGTGTGTGAGATGGGAATACAGACATCGTCGCTGTCATGGTTATCGCCTTGTGCTCGATAGATTTCGGACCACGTGTTGAAGAATCTCCAATAGGAAGTGCCGTCGGCGAGGCAGTGGTTCATGGAACAGCCAATGAAAACGCCGTCTGTCAATTCAGTGACCTGAACCGACAACAAAGGCAAGGAGTGGCCGTCGTGGTTGACCGCCCTGTCATGGTCAAAAAACGACTGGACAACGGAGGGGACGTCGGTGGGGGAGAGGATGTCGGAGACGGTCATGTCTAAAGCGGCATAGATGAACCTAGCCCCGTCACTGTTGTCGCAGTCGACAAAGATGGAGTAAGAAGGGAGACGAGTGGTGACTAGGCGGCCGGTGAGGGGATAAAAATGGAGGAGGGTGAGAGAAAGGGAGTGCTTAAGGCGGTGGAGAAGAGAATCGATGGAGAAGGGAGAATTGAGAGGAGAAGGCTTGAGGAAGAGGAGGCCTTTCTGAATGTAATGAGCAGACAACATGAGAATATCCCAGGGGGAGAGATGGCAGATGGGGTTAGAGTCATTGAGCGGAAGGGGTGGCTTAATGAAGCATTCCGACATACGCCGGACAGCAGGGTGTGAACTCATCTTCACTCGCAGCTCAGAGATGACTTCGGATCAACTCATGGTATGTAACGTTGGGTGACTTCTCTCTTTGTTTATTACATATATAAGACAAATGATGATTTTAAGAATTAAAAAAGTCACATCCTATTTCACGCGAACAAGTTATAGTTTGGCCTAGCTCACCAACCAAAACGCTGACCATGTTTTGTTAACAAGGATGCCTCTCAGCTAGGGGTGTTTGAATATCTCTATAAATATTTTTTAAAAATATTTTTTTATAAGTCAAAACAAACTCTTTCATATATTTATCTTATATATTATATTTTTAAAGTTATGGTTTTATTTTTATCCAGACACCATTTAAATTATGCAGGCTCCTTGAGACTACAGGTCCTACAGTAGCAAGCCAGCTGGGGAGTGGTTTATGCATAACATTACTCCTAGACACACACAGAACCAATGGTCAATGATGGAGACTGAGTTTTGGTGTGATATGCTTGAAGTTGTGTGGAGTAGGCAGGATTGGGGCCTGTTTGTGGAGGAAAAATAGTACAGTTCTGTCAGACTCAAAAAGCTGTTTTTTGGGGCGCCATTGCAGTCATCACTATGCTCGCAAGACCCAACTCAACCTTTCTCTGCCCTCTTCTTGCTTTGCTTTTTTATTGTTTTCATTTTGCTTTTAATTTTCAGTACCTCTTTGGAATAAAAATTACCTGCGAAAGTTACATAGATAAAATTACATGTGAATTAAAAAAAAAAATTCCGAGATTCTTTGGCGTCAATGCCAATGAACCCCCTCTGGTATATTTGATAAGTGAAAAAATATAGAAATATAGCACTAATAGAACAAAAACAGTCCCCGTTTAAATGAGTGGGGGTCTGGGGGAGTGTTTCAGAATTCATAGTTCAATTTATGGTTAAAGATGAATCAGAAGCTAAATAGCAGCTATTCTAAGGATTCTGTGATGGAAAAGTAGAAATGCCTCTTTCTCGTAATATGCGAAAATATCTGCCTAAATTCATAAGATCATTCGGTTTGAATGCTATATGAAAAACATGTGCCTGAATGTATCACCCGAAAAAAAAAAAAGTGCCTGAAGAAGGAATGAGAAGGCTAAGAAAAAAGAAGCATAATCGAGCACAAAATAGTGGCTTTGTCCCCCCCCCCCCCAAAAAAGAAAAACCCACAAAAGAATTCCCATATTTATAAACGTGAATCATTCTATTAATTAAAGGGGCTATGCAGTATCAATTCCTTATCTCATCTACGCGAAGGCCGGGAGACAAGACGCCAGATAATACCAACTCAAAATGAGTAACACAGAAAAGTAACTAAAAAAAATTATTCGCTGCCCAAGCTAAACTTGGATACAACAAACAAGTTGAATGACATTGTATCTGAAATTGACCAACGTTAAGGGAAGCCAGCAACATTTTGGGGAACTCGAACCCTGGATTGACTCTCACGAGTTCAAGCACTTACTGTGATGGGTCTTTGATTCATCATCGAGGGATTCCTAGGTTGCAGATTAACACAGAATTTGGAGAATTTGGTTTTCCCTGTTCAATGCTATTGATGCAAGTCAAGCTTTCCCCTTTGTGATTTATATTAGCCGTCTATAAGACAAGAATTTTCTCTCGGGTTTCGAAGCACAAGAAGAGAGAATCACATGATACTAGAGTATTGGAAGCCTACTATTCCACTCAGATATAAAATTGATTAGCTAATTAAGCTGTTGGTCGCTAGAACTGGTAATATGTAGGTTGAATTCATTAGTAAGCGAGTGTTTTTAATTCGTATAGTGTAGACCCATAACCTGCCATAAGTTAGCCCATCAATTAGTAGGCTAACCTCCATTTTTTTTAATCTTATTAATCATTATAATTATATTGTTATATACTCCTCCGTGCTTTATTATAAGATCTAGTTTTTTAAATCGTTTTGTCCCTTTTTATAAAATCCTATTTGAGTTTGTCTAAGCATTTAATATATTATTATCTATTTTAACCCCAATTTAATACATTTAATTTATTCTTTTTTTTATTTATCTCACTATTACTCGCTCACATTTACCCATTTATATATAGGGGTATATTTGGAAAAAAATTGTATTTCTTACATGTTAATTATTTTTAATTAATTTTAACTATTTTTTAAATCGTATAATTTAGTTAAAATGATCTTATAATAAGAGACAGAAGGAGTATCATATTATATCTAAAAATTAAAAAATGTCTATATTATTTTATTTGATGCTTCCGATTAGGTACTTGAAAGAATAACAAAAATTTCATTATATTTTTTTAATATTATATAAGAAAAAAATACTAAAATAAGCAAATAATTGTTGGTAGGTTTGTAACCACATGTGTTTTACTCATCCCAGGGCAATCCGCAACATGCTGGATGGCCTTACCGACCTTGCAGTATTTTTGGTTGCATTGGTTATTACTAGCTTTATGCATGCGTGCCCACACACCCCGAGGGGTTGTGTATGCGCTAAACTGCCCTTGAATACATGCCGTGATCAAATCACGAGCAAATATAACCAACAGTGTCTACGTTCACGTGATTGCTATTAAAACTGTGCAAAAAACTGGGTAATTCAAGTAACCTGGTCCAGTCTGATAAAAGCTCAGTTCAGTCCAAGTCGAAAAATGCAATCCAAACAAAGAATCACATCAGACCAAATTGGACTGGTCATTGGATCAGATCAAATTTCGGGCTAACTGCAGACTAGATAATCTGACCTGGTCTGACTCATTTTTTTAATTATATTAAAAAAATATATTTATTCAGATTTAATGCCTTTTCTGTTTTTCCATGCGTCCTCTTTTCCCCACTTTTTCGATTTTCCCATTTCCTTCACCACCTCCCCCCCACTTTCTCGCTTTATGGGTCTCATTGCTTCCCTTTTCTCTCCTCTGCCATTTTCCATTCCCCCCTTTTCGATCTGTCATTCATTGTCTTGGAGGAGGAAGAAGAAGAAGAAGAAAACGCCATGATTTTTTCCACGTTGAGGTTGCTTGGACTTGCCTTTGTTTGTTCTGTCTGATATCTTAGTTATAAGATTTTATTTATAGTTTACAAACAAAGTCTTATAATTAAGACATGAAGTATTAGAATAAGTCATCGTCACCGCCGCCTGCAACGACCAACAACATTATTACCGTCCTCTCCTCTGCTTCTCCCCCATCTACGTTGTTTTTTTGTTTTGCTGATTTTTCTACATCTTCACTGTTATTTCTTCTTTTTATTTTTATACATAAATGGGATTCATTAAGCTTTGAGTTTGAAATTTATGTTGTTTCGATATGTTTTCTCTAATTTTTCTACATCTTCACTCGTACTTACTTGAGTTCGAGATTATTGTGTAGTTGAAATCTCGGCTCTCATAAAAGTTGAAAAAAAAAAATAAGAAGAAATTGAGGTCCTTGACTCCTGAACCAACTGAGGCAGTCAGCTGAACCAAGTCTGATTCAGCCTGATTTCAAGTTGGCGCTAGATCAGATCAAACGACGAGGCTAACTTATCCAACCCGATGACTCGGCCTGGTATGACCCATGCACGCTACTAATTGCTGCCAGTTGTAAAGAGTGTGGTTATTTTGTTGGTATCTCAAAATATAAAAAGATAATTACAGTCAAGTTCTATGAGATTAATTATCCTAAAATTTATTAATAAGTGAAGAGTAAATAATAATAAGTTTCAGAGTATGAAACAGGTTTAAACTAATCACCTGTTATTGAGTTTTTAAGTAATTAAATTTTTTTTTTGAAAATGCTTGGTAATTCTCTCAAATTTAAGCACCTTAATTATTCCTAAAATGGGTGCTGGCTTCTGAGCAAACTAAGCAAAGGCGCTAACACAGATAACAAAAATAACAATTCTCTCTTATTGGCCACTAATTTACCAAAAAAAAAACATTTCTAATTAAGCGGTTCTAAAAAACATTTCTCAGATAACAAAAAAACATTTTTCTCATTATGTTTAAATCTAGTTGTTCCCTGGTTTCGCACAGTCCAAAATTTCTAATTAAGCATCCTTATCCTTAATAATTTGTCTAAGAAAATTCAATGAACTTAGAATTTATTGACTAATAATAAGGAGACAACAATATTAAGTAAATCCTTCAACATTGAGTAAACCTATTGAACACTTTGTTTATTGAACATTATTACCTGAATGCCATTGTCTTTTAACATCAAGCAGATCAAAATGCCGAAACAGTTTGCAGAGAGACAGAGTTCATAAACTCGTCATCGGATTCCAGCGCCGTCATCAACGCCGGCGTAAGACACATCTCCAAATCTATGCTTCCCTCTCCTTCACGACCCGGATACGACGTCACTTTCCCATCAAACTTGTTGGCGTACCCACTTCGAACACACACCGCTTTCCCCATTCCAAATTCGTTACCATACATGTCGAATCTGGGTGAGCTCCCCATTATCACGCTGTACGGGTCAAAGAACCGAGCCGGTTGAAACACCATCGGGCCCTCCAACCACTTCTTCACAAGCTCACGCACTGCTTTGTCGTCGTGGTTCGCCACAGCCACGTGTATCTTCCACGCCGCCCACCCTAGGTCGTGCTCGAGCAACTCCCCCGACGTCGTTTCCGCAGCCACCGCGTGGATAGAGTTCCCGAAGTATTCTTCCGGCAAAGGCGGTTCCATTCTTGATCTGTTATTTGCCGCCAACCTGCAGATTGTTTTCTGATCACGGGGGGGACTCCGCGCGCGTGTTATGCACCTCCATACGAGTGCCGATAATGATTGGAAGGACGATATATCGGTGGTGTTGGAATCTTGGTTGGCCTTCGCTTTCACCTTCGCAATAGACTCGGCTGTGAAATGGAATATTCTCTCTCTAAGACGGGGTGCTTCGAATCTGCTTATGAACTCGTCATGATGTTTGAAGGGAAGAATGATTGGGGGAACACAACCCTCTGGGAACCAGCGATTGTGAATCGGCAGGTGTGAGATAGGAATACAGACATCGTCGCTGTCATAGTTGTCGTCTTGTGCTCGAAAGATTTCAGACCACATATTGAAGAATCTCCAATAGGAAGTGCCGTCGGCGAGGCAGTGGTTCATGGAACAGCCAATGAAAACGCCGTCTGTCAATTCAGTGACCTGAACCGACAACAAAGGCAAGGCGTGGCCGTCGTGGTTGACCGCCCTGTCATGGTCAAAAAACGACTGGACAACGGAGGGGACATCGGTGGGGGAGAGGATGTCGGAGACGGTCATGTCTAAAGCGGCATAGATGAACCTAGCCCCGTCACTGTTGTCGCAGTCGACAAAGATGGAGTAAGAAGGGAGACGAGTGGTGACTAGGCGGCCGGTGAGGGGATAAAAATGGAGGAGGGTGAGAGAAAGGGAGTGTTTAAGGCGGTGGAGAAGAGAATCGATGGAGAAGGGAGAATTGAGAGGAGAAGGCTTGAGGAAGAGGAGGCCTTTCTGAATGTAATGAGCAGACAACATGAGAATATCCCAGGGGGAGAGATGGCAGATGGGGTTAGAGCCATTGAGCGGAAGGGGTGGCTTAATGAAGCATTCCGACATACGCCGGACAGCAGGGTGTGAACTCATCTTCACTCGCAGCTCAGAGATGACTTTGGATCAAAGTCTGATACGTTGAGTGACTCTTCTCTTTGTTTATTACATATTTATATATATAGGCAGCAAAGCGCAGCCCCCCCAGCGTCCCAGCTCGATGGCGGGGCGGCGCCTCCTCTTCCCACTCCCCTACAATGCGAAATTGTCATGTAAAGACGAAATCAGATTATGGGCCTGTTTTGATTATTTTACTTACTTATGATCCATATAGACGCTTGATTTAAAGTTCATATTGTATATAGATATAAAAATTATGCCCATCAAAAAATGACTTCCAAATATTTATAAAACCTAAAAGTGATGAATTTAAACATTAAAATCACATCTAATTTCACGTAACTAAATTATTGTTTGTGCTAGAGATTCGTGTTGTGTTTACAAGGATGCCCCTTGGCTAATAAAGAGGAAGTATAAGCAAGTATATTTTCATTATAATTAGTGCATAAAGTAGTGGATCTGTTGGGGAAGGAAACAAAAACAAAAAAAAAAAGCTTTCCATATTTATTAAAAAGGGTCATTCCATCAATCCATTCACATTTCCTCTGTTCAATGCCCATTTGGTATTAAGGGGCCTATTGAATTCTTTTTGGTGAGTTACCAACACGTTTTTTTGGATTTGAAACTAATTATTCTTAAGGCTAAACTTATTAAAGGGTTTGAATATTAATTCACTAGTAAATAACACCAAGTCTGCCGTTTTTTCAAAATTATTCGTAATTATAGCACATACTAGAATTTTTGAGCATTTTCTAATATAAATGATTAAAACAGATACTTTGGAAGAAAAAAAAAAATCAACACACATTTTTCAATTTTTTTTATTTTTACAAATTAATTATCTCACTACATTCGAAAACAATAGGGAATTGAAAGCTAACAAAACAATTTTGCTCTCTAAATTAAACTTGGATACAACAAATTAAATGTTATTACCTCTAAACCTGAACATAAAAACTAGTTAAAAATTTAATTTGTTTTCAAATATATAATCATATTTATTTAATTCTTAAAGTAATGCTTATGATAATTATATTATTAAAAAAATTTCATTCTAATATACATAATTCATAAAGGTGTTTTCAAAAAAAAATAAAATTCATTTATTACAAATATTTAACTTAACTAATTTTTTTTCATATCCACGAATTAGCTATCTATTATGTATTTCCATGAATTAGTTATCTATTAAGTATAAGTAGTAATATATTTTAAATCATACCAACTTTAAACAAAATCAGCAACATTCTGGATCCCAAGATTGATTCTTAAGAGCCAGGGATTATGAACTCAAATCGACTCCACAAAATCCTCTTGCTAATATTTTACCCGATGGAAAACTTTTTAAGATGGCCGTTATACTTTGAGAGAATTACAGTAAAATTTCAAGTAAAGAAAATAATTGAAAAACAAATCTCATAAGTTGTTGTTCTAACTGTAAAACTTGTCATTATAGACTGTTAAGATTGTTATTAGAACTTTTTAGTAATTATTTTTCTTTTGTAGAATTTAATTATAATTCCCCCTGTACTTTACTTCAGATCATCCTACCAGCATGACAACGTCTGACGCCCAAGGCTTGCTGGTTCTCAAACAATTACTTAGCTTTCTTTATCAGTTCTCCCACAATTTGTTCCAACTATTACTCCAAGTAATACTATCTGATTGGAAATTTAATTTGATATTAAATATAACATCACAATACATTTTATCTATCAAATTTATAAATTATTTTTGAGTAAAGATGAGCCCAGTACCCTCGCTTATTTTTAGAAGTATATCTAGCACCCTAAACTATTCAGTGGTGCAAATTTACCTCCAAACTAATAAAAATAGAGCAATTCTACCCAACTTAACAATCCTTCTTGACTCTATTTACTGATCAACAGACGAGCATTTCCTTTTCTTTATTTAATAATTATAAATACTGCATTGCGGCCGCCACACCCCGTGCATCGCCGTGAAATGTACTGCACTCTCCTCATCATTTGTGCTTAGCCTCTCCATTCTCTCACATTCCGTTTCTTAGTGAGTAATTTCATCAGATTTAAATGGCTTTACATTTACATTCCATTTCAGATTTCCTCTACAATCTTCATCCTCGTCTCTTTTCTCTCTGCAACTTTCTCTCTCTCTCTCTCTTTCCTCTCTCTCCTTCTCTCTCCCACCTCTCCATCTCTAACCTTTACAGAAACACAATTATGTTAAAAACCTTCACCCCCAATTTCCCCTTCCAATTCTGGGTTTTCACCTTCCGATGGATAAGTTGTGGCCGCCACAATGCAGTATTATCATTATTTTTTAAAAAAATCCCCACATGGCAATTAGCAAACGGTGTTAAGAGGAATCTGTTAAGTTGGGCAGAATTGTTACATTTTTATTAGTTTGGAGATAAAATTACACCACTAAATAATTTAGGATGCTCAGTGCACCTCTAAAAAGATAAGGATGCTAGCTACAACTTTGCCCATTATTTTTTAAAATATGTTATTTACACGTCAAAAGATCTTCATCCAAGAGGCAGTCATCATTAGAAAATGTACTTTAACAAAATCAACTTGTTTATAATAAATAACTAAATTAATTAATTTACTTAACTTACTCAAACTAGTTAAATAACTGCTATGTTAAAGACTTACATATCAAGTTGCCTGAGACAGAAACAAAATTTGTTTTTCGGACCAGGCGGCGAAACAAAACTACAAAAGCCCATCCCGCACAAGTCAATATGTCCGTACCACATGGCTGCATTAAAAAACCCGAAAACAATAACAACAACGATAATAATAATAGTAATAGCATTAGCAATAACCAGAGCAATCAAAGGTAGAAACTAAAAGATCAGTACTCGCTTTCATTCAAAAAAAGAAAAAGAAAAAAAGATCAGTACTCGCATCTGCCAATCGGGCAAAACAATTCTGTAGAACTAGAGGGGCCAAAAAAGCAAACTGAATTAAATAAACTAAAAGATCCCGCAAATGAAACTAAGCCTAACCAATAAATACTCCAGAGTTCAAGAACAAAATATAGCTTTCCTTAGTATTGACTGACATCAATACCTGGGAAAAAGTTTGAGCAGTCGGAAGGGACCAGAGACTGCATAGATTGCAATAAATTGACCACGCAAACTCTTACGAAACTAGGTTGTCATTAAGAGAGAGCGAGGCCAGTTGATTGGTTGGGCTGCTAACTTGCTGAGCAACATTTCTCAAAACCTCCATGGCCTCAGCAACTTTAGCCTTCAAAGCTTCAGGTGATTCAATAAGATGCAATACCTCAGGCTGGTCCATCTCCAAAAGCATGCCTGTTACCTTAGCTGCTGCATCACGCTCCAGCTGTTCTACAAGAGGGTATAAAGCCTCGCCCAGCATCTACACAAACCATTCGCGAGATAGAATCAGTGTGATAAGAATCTAACGTCCAGTACATATGAAAGTAAACAACAGGCTGATTCAAATGCAAAACAATAGAAGGAAACAGGACTTACAGTCCTCTGCTGTTCAGGTGGAGCATTTGCGAGGGCTGTAGCCAATGCCTGTCTGGGCAATGGTTGCCCAGCAGCATCCCGGATTGGTAAACCACTCATGTCATAAGGGGCAGAAAGCATTCCACCAGCTCCTCCAGGCATTGGAACATCTTGCATGTTGCGACCAGGAGGGTAACGGTAGGCACGTCCTCTTGGAAGCATCTAATTAATTAACACAGGAAGCACCTAACCCCCATCAGCCATGCAGAATAACAAAGAAATAAAATGACATAAAAAACAGCGTGTGGACAAACCTGCTGCTGCATTAGTGGCATCGGCTGCTGGGATTGTTGCACAGGACCTGCTCCACGGCGCCCCCCAGGACGTGGACCTTGTTGACCCTGCTGGACCATTGGAACAAAAAAGTTTGGCATTGGAGCCCCCCCAGGCCTCATCCCAGGAACGAGTTGCTGCTGATAACCAAACCCAGCCTGAATCGAAGATCACAGGGTCAATTACTTAAATACTCAAATGTGTAAAGCAAGAGTGCACAACATATTCCAAATACACGCAAGGCGGATAATAGCAAGTTTCAGGAAAGAATACAGAAGTAATTGACCCAGACGAAATATACTGTACGCTTGGTGGATTCCCCCAGTGGCAAAGTAATCCCCCTTGCATGGGGGAGGTGGGTTCAATTCCCCAGGGCCATTTTAGCCCCTATCCAATTGAAGAAGGAATATGTTGCACTTCAATTAACCAAACCTTCAGCTACCAGTATATGACTAGAACACCAGAAGGTATGCAGAGATTATTCAGATCACTGAGACTTTTATAACGCCTTCATATAAAAATTTAAGGCGTATAACTTGTAAAGAATTACTTGTGGGGGAATGATGGCAGGTGGTGCTTGCCCATACAAAAATTGTTGTCCCAGACCTGGAGCCCCAGGAGGATACATTGGCATGCGTGGACCAACAGAAGGCACCAACGGAACAGGCCTCATTTGTATGAATTGCGCCTGGAAAAAACAATTATTTATGGTAGGTAAACACCGAATAACAATTAAAGAATAATTATTGTTAAAAAATAACTTGCAGCTCTTTCTAGTTATATAGATGATCCCAGCCTATGGTATCCCCATAAATTACTGCGATGTAATGACAAACACCACAGAAAAGGGCTCACAGCAACAAGTATTCATTTATCAATAAATTATTTTAGGCGTGAATACCTGTAACCTAGCTCTTCTGTCTTCTTTTCTTTGAGCATGTGCAACATACAGCGGTTTGCCAGCAACCATTTTACTATTCATCTCCGAAAGCTAGAATCATAAACAGATATGTGAATGAACACACTAGTTCCTTGTTAAAAGATGGGAAATTGTTACAAGCAGGCAGTAACTTACAGCTCGTGAAGCTTCTTCAGGAGATGAGAATGCAACAAACCCCGATCCTTTACTTATTCCATTTGGTTCCCGCATAACCTGAAGTTTCAAGTCAGGAGAAGTGCATTTATTAAAATCTTGCTACCAAGAAGATTGATAGCTTGACCAAAGAATATGACTGACAAAATGGTTAATTGTATTTAGATACCTTGCAAGAAACTATTGTACCAAATCCAGAGAACATTTCCTTCAGTTTCTCATCACTGATGCTCTCATCCAAATTCTTGACATACAAGTTCATCCCTTGATGTTTGTCAAGTGCTTCCTTCATACTCTCCTCAAATCGTCCTTTCAACTCAAGCTCTCTTTCAGATTTCTTTTGAGCTTTTCCAACATACCACTCCTTGTTATCAAACTTCTTTCCGTTAAGTGCCTCAACAGCATTAGCAGCATCATCTGCATTTTCAAAATTGACAAAACCAAAGCATTTTGATTTACCATCTGCATCTCTCATTATCACGGCACTAGTAATGGTCCCATATTCTCCAAAAGTTTTCTTCAAATCTTCATCAGTCATTGACTCTGATAGGTTTTTCACATAGACATTATTGAATTTTGTCTTGGTAGAAACACTCTCTCTATCTTCTTTTCGCAGAAAATGCCCTACATAGACCTGCTTATCATTTATCAGCATGCCATTTAACTTGTCAATTGCATTTTGCGCAGATTCTTCTTTGTCGAATTGAACAAATCCATAGCCTTTGGACTGGCCAGATGCATCCGTTGCTATTTTGCAAGAAAGAATATTTCCAAAAGCAGAAAAAGTCTCGTGTAAAGCCTTGTGGTCAATTGTCTTATCCAAATTCTGCGCCACCATCAGAACAAGAAAAAAAATGATTGAAACAAGATATTTAAATGAAAAGAAGTGGTCCATTGAGGGAAGAAATAGTTCACTAAATGATCACCACTCATAGAAGTACCTTGATAAATATATTCGCTGCTCCACTCTTCCGACTACTAGGATCCCGATTGGAATACATAATCCTGATGGGCTTGTTGTTCAGCGGCGTGAAATTCAGCTCATCCACTGCTCTGGCCGCTGCGAATAAATATGACAACAAATGACAAGAATGACAGAATGCAAAGCTTATTAGTTTAATTTACTTTGATTGTGTGACGGAAGAATGATTCAACAGTTACGAATTAGAATTAGAAGTAACAAAACAACACAAAATGCAGAGTTTATTAGCAACTAAGCAGTATTTACAGAGGCATCGCACGCAACAGTAAAAAGATATAAGATATATCCAGAGCAGAGGTTCAATACTTCACAGGGGCAAATACAGGCAAGGAAAAAAAATCAGCGTAAGCAGATACGACGTGTTCCGTTCATTCAATGACTGCTGCTCAGGGGAAAGTATTGCGGATGTAGATGAAATTGTAGACACATCGTGAATAAATAACCAACAAGCTACGAAAAAGGCACGCTCATGTCAATTTAGTCAAGACTAATTAACGAAAAACGTAGAGAGGGCGACATGACTAACCATCCTGAGTATTACTGTAATTGACATAACCGTAACCAAGGGATCGACGGCTGGTGACGTCCCTGCATACTCGAACAGAAATAACTTGTCCCAGCCGGTTGAAGAGATCGTAGAGCTGAGAATCGGTCACGTCCAGGTCGAGATCCCCAACGTACAAGGATGCACCCGGGAATTGGTTCACGGTTGGAGTCGGCGCCACACCATTGGGAGCCGACAAAGGGTTCGGATGCTGCACCTGCATTTGCGCCATCTCACGCACAACTAAGAAGCCTGTGTATTCCTTCCTAACTTCAGCCTTTTTCTTTTTTGGGTGTTTTGAGGTATTCTGGCTACACCTCCCCTCTGGTTGACGATGAAAATCTTTAGGGAAGGAAAACGGCAATTACACAGTTCAAACCCTAAATTGATAATGATCAAAAGATATAACAAAGTAAGTATGACAGTTTATGGATTTTCTGCGTAAGTAACGATGATGAATAGAGATGGATGAAAAAGGATAAAGCCGTCGGAGATCCGAACGGTGGCCGCGCAAAGAAAAACCAGAAACTGAAAGGTTTTTTTCTTTTTTTTGGGAGGGCAGACTCTACCTGCACCGCACCGGCGAATATGTAACAGTGTAAGTTATATAGTGGATTCGGAAACCCTAGTTTAATTCCTGGAAGGATTGAGATTCGATTCGACGGCCCAGATCTAGAAGACCAGATGAAGTGGGGTCCAGGGAGTGAAGTCAGATAATCCTCCCTCTCTCTGTTGTTTTTTTTGACCCGATCCTCTTTTGATAATCAGGAGAAATCAGATAATAATAATTCTGTCCTTGGGGACTAAGAGAGGAGGTGTGACACGTGGCATGCTGGTCGCATCACCAGACGCCTCTTGTTGGGCGACCACTTCTAAACAGACCAGTTTATGGCTCGAATTCTATCTTCGATATTTTATTTTAGAAATTAATGATTAATGATTCCGAAGAAAAAGATATTTTCTAAATTAATTTAGTTTTTATGAAGAAAAAATCTTATGATTTATAAGGCTATTAAAATTAAAAGTAATCCTCAAAAACAAAGATTTAACAACATGCTCGTAGTTTGATTTGATTGGACGAGAAATACGTAAAGTAGCCACGTGGGATGATGACGAAGGTGAGAGCAGGCTGACTTGGGGCGACGGAGGTGAACATGGTCCGTGAATGGGATTTGAGCGCTAGGGTAACGTCCCCACACGGTAAAGAGTTCTCCATTCTCCACATCGGAGGTCACCTTGTCTAGGGAGTATTTTTTGAACACGTCATTCTTTAACCATCAACTTTGCTGCCTTTAAAATTTGCAGGGAGCGGTTTTTCCTTTTTCTTTTTGTTTTTTTGGCCATCAGTTTTTAAATTAAGACAGGGTATAAGAATTAGGCAATTAATTTATCTTCCGGGCCCTTGCTTAAACACCGATTGTGCAATGAGGTACTCTCCTTCTGCCTAAGAAGGATTACCGAGGGGAGCTATCCACGAAACAACGGCTATCATTTTGAGACTTTATTTACAGTTGACCGTCTCTCGCTGTTTTTCTCGTTTGAATTAAAAATGATTTATTTCACTTATTTTGTTTTAAAAAAATTACTTCGCATGAATTTTCTAAACATTCTTTTGAAAATGTCTCCCCAAAATTTGTTTGCTGAGGATGTTAACTCGGAATTAGGATCTCTCAAATGCACACCAGACACTTTTGATTGTGCCCTTGCACGTGATTGGAAAGATGTATTAAATTAAGTATGAGGCATATTGTCCGAATAAATATACTGAATTTCCAAAAAAATTTTGGAAAACATGGAGTTTATGTTTTGTTAACACAATCAGTTGACATTCAAGAATTTGAATTTCCAACACGATCATTGTACAAAATCCGAACCAGCGATGTTGGATGGTATTATGCACTTAGTGCCTGTTTAGATTAACCAAATAGCCACTTTTTTTGACCAGAAACCAAATAGCCACTTAATCCAGATATTACAAAATACTCATATTTTTACCTTTTTTTTTTAAGTGTATCTTTTCATGTTTTCTTTTACCTTCAAATTGATTATTGGGCTATCTCCACCGTTTTCCCCCAAGAATAGAAGGGTGACGACAGGGCTGAAGCATATAAGGCCCAAATGATCACTGCCGTGCCCATCAGCTCTTCAACGACGCAGTTCGATCCATAAGGCTTTTTGTGGCCTCTTACATGGTCTGTTTATTTTGTCGAACAGCCGTTAACATCAAGACGGATATTAAAGTAGCCCACGGACCTCATCAAGCCCCCTACCCCGTTTCTTTCCCATCTCTTTTTATCCAACCAAATCATATTTTGTATTAAAAAAAGAATCAAATCAGATCTTCAATTAAAACACAAGAAGTGATGTTTGTGTTCGAGGTTTATTTGTTACTAAATTCTATTTTTAATCAACTTTGATTTAAAAATATTGCAAATATACATAACACTCTACTTAGATACTGGGATCCTTAATGAATCGATCACAAGGGACGAATCTAGTCATTATTATGAGATCTCATTTATAGTCTATAAACAATATATTATAAATAGTACCGAAAGTAATAGTTTTTTTGGCGGGGGGTCAATGAAAATTACTTTTTTATACATTGGTTTTAAGAGTCCCGTGTGAAATCACGGAGGATGAAATCTGATTAGAACGGTGAGGTTGTAAGGAAAGGGATATAAAAATTGAGAAAATGATACTAAGAAAATTAAAAAATATATATTTGAAATATTTAAAATTATGACTTATACTACTTTAAAAAAAATATTATTGCTTGCCAAATAAATTCTTAGTCAGGACTCATAAGTAAGGTCATGATAAAAAATATTCTCGCGTGTCAATTAAACTTTTGGAGTGTGGATAATATTTTGATTTTGATTTTTATCCTTAATGCTCGTTACGATTAACGCAGACCACATGTCAAGGAGACTTATCCGCCACTTAACAAGATTTTTTTACATTAGCGGTGGCATTGAAATCTACGCTCTTAAGTCATATTTTTATCATATTAGATCAACATTGGCTGCCTACGTACGGCTCTTTTCTTATGTCACCGAATGTCGAGGGCTATTTATCATCATTTTATTCTCTTCAATTCAATAAAATATAATGTTAAAACAATTCCAGATCTTTGTTTCTGTAACGAAGGCAATTATATGTTTAATTTGATGAAAAAACAGAGCTGAATGTCGAGAACCAATAAATTGAGTAATTCTTTTTCTTTCCCCGGGTCCTCTTTTTTTTTTTTTTTTTAATGTCACAGTTAAGAGGAATAACGACACACTCGTACAGCAACTTTGGGAAATGACCTGCGAAATAGAAAATAATAATGGAGATCCGTTAACACGGCTCGATTGAAAAATAATGGGAAATAGAAAGCAAAATAGCTCAGTTGGAGATCGTCTCTGCAGTGGTCATCCTTTTCACAGGTCTCACAGTGTTATAAAATAAAATAAAACTCGTAATAATTATTTTGTACTACCTCCAGTCCTAATTATAAGAGCCAATTGACTAATTTGAGGAAATTAAGAAAAGAAGTTAAGTTAGTTATTTGTAATAAATAGATGCTGTCTTTCCTAAAATATCCTTACTAATCAAGTATATTGGCTAAAACTATAATTATTAAAAAGACTATCTTGGAAAAAATTGAGTAAATGTGAGAGACAAAATGGATTGGGGTCTTATATTTAGGATCAACATAAAAGTCAAACGGGGTCTTATATTAAGGACCGGAGGTAATATTACCCTATGGTACGATGAGAGAAGGAGAAGGGAGAGAGAATTTCAATGAGCTTCATTTAAAAAATTAGAGAAATAAGATTTTAAAATTTTAATAAAGAGAAAATAGAAGATAAAAGAATAATATAAATTAATTAAAAACTTTTAATCTCACTTCTTCAATTTCTTGAACCGAATGCATTAAAGTTTTCTCCCTCCATTTTCCTCACCAAACAGACCATTAGTATGAGGGTTAAAGCGTACTCTTCCTACAACCGTTCCTTTTTCGGCCTGGACACTTCGGTATATATAATATTACAATTTTAAATATTTGTTCGCTATTAATTCTTACTAATCGTAGTTCAATCCAGTTTCAGTACTCATTGTTTTGATGAGTACTTTAAGCTCATCAAGTCTTGACAGTATATATTTAATTTGAACAGTTCAGATTTGTAATATTTAATGACTATTCAAATAAAATATTGATGATCCAGATCTAATGAGTTTAAAATGTTTATTGATAAGTACTGAAACTGATTCTTTGTTCATACGCAACCTTCACTGTAATTTTTATAAAAAGGTCGTTAATTTTGTTTCCAGTTTTTTTTTTTACCAGCGTTTCCAGTAAAATTTTAGTTAATTCTTGAACCGTTGAACGATATCAGTAAACGATAACGCCACGACACAGAAAGCGAGAAGAATCTGGTTGGCTCTCATACGTTCAAATCGCTGATTCTATCTTTTTCCCTCCAAATTGTTGAGAGAAGTGAGGGAATGGCCCCACAAACCACTAATAAAGATCGTGCGATAATTAATAAGAAATTTGCATGTCAATGATGGGAAGTTTTTTTTTTTGGGGGAAAAAAATGCATGTTGCCTTGGATATGGTTGGTGTGCCTGCCAACTTTTTGAAAGTCGGATGAATAATGGGGGGGAGTGGAGTATCTGGTATGATTTTCTTTCAAGTTTTCGGCTAAAGGACAATATAATCGTGCTTTTTCATTAAGGAGCTTAGTTAAGACGTAAAAAGGGAGCTTAAGAAGGAGAAGAACAAGTAGGTGCGTGGACTTCAGTGTTCGTAGCTTCCACTTTTAACCTAAAAGCTTCGATTCACAAGTTTCTGTAGTGAAAAGGGGTAGTTTTTTTCCTTCAAAGTCACACACCCACCCCAGGCAGAAAATCGAGAAAAAAGCGAAAGACAAATGAAAAAGAAAGGCCTCGGCAGGAAAGTCAGGAGAGGATAGCATTAAGTGGTAGAGTACAGAGAGACACAATGCAACTTTGTCTTTCTTCTTTCCCCAGCAGCAGCAAAAGAAAGAAGAAAAATAAAGAAAAGCGCACATAATTGAATCAGTAGTAGGAGTATTTGAGTAGAAAGATATCACGTTGGTGGTTACAAAAGCTGCAGGGCGCAGAGAACATGGGCGGACAAATGATGAAACCCCTTCATCTGCCTTCCGGGTGTAACGGGAAAAGCTCCAGAGTTGTGTGTTCCTCCTCTTTACACGGCCTGCTTTGTTCTTGGAACCCCTCAAACGCCCAGCTCATGCACTTCTTCTTGTACGGACTATCCTCCTCCGTCCCCACTACTTCACCCTGCCGCGTACGTCCAAAATATTTAATTAACTAATACGGACTTAGATTTATGAATATCGAGTTGAGATGCTAATTAATATATACAGTGATGTCATAATATGTATGTGTACGTACCAGCCTTGCGTCAAAAGTCACGGTAGTCGTGGTGGTAGTAGTAATGGGGTTGGAAACAGTGGATCTGGGAGTTGGAGAGAGGGCAAGATTGTTGCGTTTCTGCTTTTGCCTCTCGCGTGCTTTGTGGTTCTGGAACCAGTAGAAGACATTCTTGCCTTCGATCTTGCCATACTTGGCGAGCTGAGCCGTGATCTGCTCTATCTGCTGAGCATTGGGGGTTCTCATGCCCCCTCGGTACAGCATCTCCAGTATCCCTATCTGTTCCTGCGTGGGGTTCCATCTCGTCCCTCCCGGATGCGTTTCCACCTGCACAATTTAATACAAAAAACCAACAACTATATTTAATGAGCCAAAGAGGCATATGCGTAACAGAACAAGTAGCGTAAAAAACGGAGCGTATTTGGCACCTGCTGGGGGGAATCTCTGTGAGGATCGTCGGAGAGTTTTCTGGGGCCACTTTCTGGGCGGATGAAGGTCTTGAGATCGAAGGGAGTGGTGGGAGAGGTGGGGGAGGAAGGGAGCTTGGGGGCGAGAGGGCGGAGGCGTTTGCAGCCGAGAGAGAGGGAGGGTGAGGGTTCGTGCTCCCACAGCGCACGTGCCAACTGATGCACCTTCATGCTTCCCATGGTGGAGAACTTGAGGGTACGCAGCTCTCTAATTATATAGAACACGACACGCTCACTAAAGTCACCAAGTGGGGAGTGAGGTGGTGCCTGCGACAACCAAGACCAAATGATGAGCTACGGTTGACTTTGCATTTCCCCTCCTTTAAATAAATTAACCCCACACACACTCTCTCTCTCTCTTCTCACTTGTGTGTTGGCCCGTCAAATCCCTTTTTCCTCTTTCCCTTCTTCTTCTTTCTTGGTGCGTCATGATAAGGTCTCCATGCTTTTCGGTGGCCTCTTTGGCTCTCTCTGTATTTCAAAGCTTTTGGCGATTAAAGTGACCTCACAGCAGAGGAAGGAATAAAAGATTCCTCCAATCCCAACACTTGAAAATGCACTCCCTTTGATCTCCTTTTCTAGATACGGTTTTTATTTTATTCATTTATATTTGCAAAATGGATGAGGGAGGGAAGCGTGGTTCATCAGTGCCCTCTCTCTCTCTCTCTCTCTCTGTTCCCCCCTTTTTTTCAAGTGGCGGAGAATGTTGAAAACACAGACTTCACGACAACTGAAACCTATACTCACAATTTCCCACTCCTCTTTCGGAACTGTATCTCCATTTCCCATATATACTCATAAAATATATGTAGGAGAGGACACACCACCACACCATGCACCATCTAGCCAGTTTCCACATCTACGCGCAATTTTAATAATGCAAATCATTTTGTGTCCTACCACATATAATGAAATTATATATATCCTACGCTTAACGACGTGCGTGCGTGCGTGCGTGTGTACAGGTACATTTATATATATATATATATATATATATGTATGTATATATTCAATTCCAATAATAGGATTGTGCAATAATAATAATAATCACTTACACGTAAACACATTATTGAGTTTTGAGTGCAGCTGGCAACCAACTCGCCACGTGAGTAAAGGCAAAACAACTAAACATTCAAGAGTATGGCAACACGTGTGTTTCAATACGTGGGCACGAGTGGCAAGCGCCGCACACGTGTTTCGGTCAAAATACATGATGGTTAATCATCACAATTATGCACCCGCAAGCGAGCTAGGGTGCTTTCGTTATCTGATCTTCTTCACTTTTGATTCTGTCCGTGTATATGTTCATGAATTATGATGACTGATTTTCATTATTATTGCTCCTTCTGCTACTTGCTCGCCATTATATTATACGAATCCCGCCAGTGAAGGGACTGTCCTAACATATGAAAACAGGAAGCTTTCTCTTTCCCGGTAATAATGTACTGTGGCAATTCTTAGGCATACTTGTACCTCCTTACCTGCAAGTGTTTCTCCACTTTTTCTGCAGCCAAATTATGCAGTTCACTTGACTTCCAACATTAGTTATTACTTCACGTAATGTGAATGTGTTGTCGTAAGTTCACACATGCAAATATTACATTAACGTTTAACTTCCCCTTCCCAAACCGAAAAAAAAAAAAAAAAAAGAAATGACGAAGATATGACGATGTGATAAATCTCAACATCAAGATCGCAAAATTTGTAGACATGGAAAGGTGAAAGTAAATACACAGCCACCCACAATCATTTTCGGGGAGATTTTCTTAGAAGGATTCGGGATTTGGACAAGTATATATACCACTATATTACATAATTTGTGTATGGTAAAAGGTTCGATGCGGATCATCCCCTTTCAAATATCAGCACTCCTTTTAAACCTAGAAATCAAATAAACAGGGAACTAAAAACAAGCTTCATGTGAATCTCATCAGGCCCTTTTTTTAAATAAGAAAGAGGCTGATTTTATTCCCACGAAGATTTGCTTATTAACCCTTGATGCGACCTTCTTAATAATATTGTGATCTCCCTGATCCTTTGAAAGCTCCATTATCCTGTGACGGATCCCAAGAAGCCTCATTTTTCTCCGATTATTCTGCTGTTAATGTCCATGGCTACGTGTCTGCAACTTAACTTGATTCTGCATCCCTACTCCTGCAGGAATAAGACTTTTCCTTCGGCTGTCTGTGTAACGAGTCACGAGCTTATCCAATTCATGACCTATTTTAAGCCCTTCCAGAGAAATGAAATCTTGCTGTTATTGACGAGAAAAACACCGGGCGATGGCTGTAAGTACGTAATAGTGTGAAGTGGCCTGCACCGATAGAGATAAAATAATTTCCACAAGTCATGCTGAATACATAACTTTTGATCCAGACATCAATAATAATGATCAAACTTGAGTTGCATGGTGTGAAATCAGTGCAGTTAGTTTATTAATAGTCATGCCTTGTAGTTAAAGGGGAAAGGTTGATTAATTCGGGTTAACTTTAATTTTTCAAAATGTGGTGTGGCATTGGCCAGCTGTCACTATATGTGGAAGTGGAAATTAAATGGGGGAGATAATGATTCCAAAGTTGACAAATGTGGAGATTAAGAAGGGGGGGGGTGTGAGGCCATGTTATTTGGCTTCATTCAACACAGATCCGTATCTGATTGCACCACATTTATATCTTATCGGCCTTCAATCACGACAACGCAAAAAGCAACATTTTTCTTTCCTTCAATCTAGCTATACACCTAGCTAGGTTTTCATGATTCTGTTCCTATTTATCCTCAAATAGCCAATTCAGGAACTTCTACTTCTAGCCAGCCTGCCACTCTCCCGCCAGCTAATCTTACGCCTCAATTATACCCCAACGTCACTTCGTGTCTTCCCAAACCTACGCAATTATATGATGCCAGGCATTACGTGTTGTGTCTGGTTGCAGATACGACTTATTTATAGTTCAATTATATATCTGCCGAGGATGGCCAAACGCGTAATCATCATACAATTAGACCATAGGAATATATATATATATATATATATATATTATGCAGATAGATATTCATGTTTATATCCAATAACTTAAAACTGTGGTTCCATGAATCATTTTCAATTAGATGTATGGCCATTCTTGATCTCATTATATCATGTAAGACTTCCTACCTCCCGCTTCTGCTCCTACTTCATACCTACAAGTTCAACTTCGGCTTCCATCAAATATAAGACGAAATGTTACGAAACTTTCAGAAGCTGTGTCTGATAAATGCATCTTTTGTGGTCACATATACTATTTTTGCTTCTTGACTTCGAACATATATGGATTTCTTTTGGATCTATTGATTCAGGTGAGACAGCCTCCATGCACGGAAGAGATAATCATGGTTTTAATTGAACTCATCATCGTATGCCACAAACTCTCCCTCTAACAAATAGTTAAAGTTTCTAAACTTAAAAGTCCCTTCATTTCCATGTTTTTCGAGGCAAGCCATTCCATTATTGCTTAGTATTTCCACCAGTTACCCAAGAAATAGCTGTATTGACAAACATCTATGATTTGAAAGAGCTAGCTGCAGAAGCTTGGCATGAATAAACCATTTCTGGAAGCAATGAAAAAACATATTGATGGATTTGGCAAAGAGAGAAAAGAACAAAATAAACAGCATAATTGCGTGACTGCTACAGATGATTGTACGGTAAGATGATGATGAGAGAGAGAGCGCCATGAAACTAAGAAGAGAGGCAGAGATAACGGAAACGAAACAGAGTGCGAGGGGGGGAGAGAGAGGACAGATGAAGCGATATGAGTGGTGGAGGATGAGAAGGTTTTGTCTTGTTGAGGAGAGAGTGGGAATGTAAATATGATATTTGAAAATGGGGGTCAAAGATAAAGAAAGGGGAAGGGGTGGGGGTGGCATTGGCATGATGGGGGGTGGATCCCACACAGTGGAGGAAAGCGGTGGGAATCCATCATGAGGGGAAGACAAGGCCATCATTTGCACGTGTCCATGGACCATACATTTCAATCCCCTTACTTAGCTAGTTCACTTCCACTTGCTCTTCCTCATTTACATTATATTCCCCCTTTCATCATCATTCCATTACTTCTCCATTTCTATCAAAATTTTCCACCCTCTTCTGCTGTCTGTGAATCCAATCCTTGCTCCTTCATTTGCTTTTTTACATGTATGTAGCTGGCATTCATTGCAAAACTACACCTCTAATTATATAGCTGCTTTTGAAAAATAATGTATTTTTTTTTATCAACATCTAATTATATACCTAGCTAGAGTCACCTTGAGTTTTGACTAATCTGAATTGAGTCGGGTAAAAGTAAAACTAGGAAAATTACAAATTCTCTCAAATGTTTAACTTATTAGTGCAAACCTATCATAGTTAAATTAATACACAACTGACCCTATATTTGTTGAGTTAGTGCCCCTTAATTTAAAGAACATTTTTCAACTTACTTTCGAACAATAATTACATAAATGTGTCCATAAATTTTCGGCAACTTATATTCAAACATGCAATATAAATTTAACTAACATGAACTCATACTGAAATGCTTTAAAGAGGCTATCCATAAATTTTAACTAGTGATACTTTTTACATGGAGTGCTACATCCGGTTCTGAATATAAAAGTTAGTTTAACTTTTGATTTAATTCTAAATATAAGACCCTAATCCACTTTATCTTTGATATTTATCTATTTTTTAAAAAATAGCTTTTATAGTAGTTGCACACGATAAAGATTCTATTAAATAGTAGTTTTAGCTAATACATATGATTAGTAAGGATATTCTAAAACAGACAACACTTTTTTATTGTAAATAATCAACTTAACTAATTTTCTTAATCTTAACAATTAGTTCACTATGTCTTATATTAAAGAATGGAGATAGTATTATATATATAGACGGGAACAAGGAGCGACAGCTGTATTGTTAGGTTTTTTAAGGATATAAGGAGACAATTGTTTTTTTCGCTATATCATACCAGCAATTATAATCATCAGTGTATCATGAGTTTTATACTGGGAAGTCTAACTGAAGTGTGATTTAGTTTATAAATTTAAGAGACTATCTCCCACTCAACAAGCTAGTTTTTAATTTGAGTGAGAAGGCTTAATAACCTTGAAAATAATTACTTATACAGAGTCTAACCGGCAAGAGAGGTCAAGTGAAATACCACGATTTAGAGTCATCA